AAAGACCGACGTGTTGCGAACCAAGTCCTTGTCAGAGTCCTTGGCCTCGCCAGCGCTGGCCTCCTTGTCGTAGACAGTCTCCTCGCCGCTGCTGGTAGCACCGGCCTTCTCCTCATCGTTGTTCTGGATGGCCTTGACGATCTTGGCCTTCTCACGAGGGATGAGCAGGGAAGGACCGCCTTCGGAAAGAGGACGCCACTTGCTAGTCGCAAAGATGGTGATGCCGACAAAGAGGACCCACCAAGCCCAGATGATACCAAAGTTCCTCCAGACGTGAGAGTGGCTGTAAGAAAGAGACTTGAGGTAGTTGTCACCATAGACAATGTTCTCACCCTGGATGGCACCACCGACACCAGCGCAAGACTGATGGTCGAGATCAGCGTAGCCGGGGCCATTGGGGACCAGGTTGACACCGACGCAGGGAATGATGGTGTCGTGGAACTCGTTGGACAAGAGAGCATCGAAGGAGTAGGCCATGGGGTTGATCCAGTAGATCCAGCCGAACCAAGGGTGCATCTTGGGCTTCTGAATCATGTAACCATTGTACATGATGAGAGCGGAAATCATGAAACCGGAAACCTTGGAGGCGGCATCGAAGGTCCTGAATGCAGCACCGATGGCTCGGAAGAAGGCCGTCATGCACATGGTAGCAGCGATGAGAATGACCCAGTAGGTAAACCAAGCACCGGCGTCCATGGACAGGGCAACCATGAAGTACAAGACAATAGACCAGACAGTAACCTGCAGGATGATGACGGGGATATCGGCAGCAACCTGGGCAATGCAGAAGGCGGCAGGGTGGAAGAAACCCATACCCTTTTGCTTGAGCAGAACGGGACGACCAGAGAAAGAGTCCGTGACTTCGGACATGGACATCAGACTGTTGTGGAGAAGGGAGAAGAAGAGGGCACCCGACTTGACAAAGAGACCAGCAGAGTTATCAGGGGCGTTGTAGAAGAGGGAACCGGCGATGAGGGCCTGGGCCAAGGTAGAGCCCTGCTTGATGAGGAAGGTTGGCTTGTCGCCGAGGACAATCTGATACTGGCGAGCGATACAGGCCTTGACCTGCTGGAAGAAGCTGACGGTGTAAGGGCTGTCCTTTGCGAGATGCTTGTCCTTCTCAACAGCGACACCTTCCTCAAACAGCTTGGTCTTCTCCCTGGCCTCCTCGGTGGTGGGATAGTCGTACTCGGCGGTCATGCGAGGGTAGATGTCGGATTTTTGGTAGGCTTCCCTGAGTTGGTCGGCGTTGCGAGGGAAGGTCTTTTCAAAGCCAGAGCGAACCACTCTCTCGGTAGGAACAGTGATACCGGTAAGGTAGTCGGCAACGTTGGCACCCTCCTGGCACTCGAAGCCGAGGGCCTCCATAAAGGGGCGGGCCTCCTTCATGGGACCGTAGTAGACCTCCTTGCCGTAATCGAGAACGAGGACCTTGTCGAAGAGATCGTAGATGCCGTTACTAGCCTGGTAGAGGGTGACGATGGTGGAGAGACCCATGACATCGGTCATGGCGCGGATGCACTTGGCCCACTCGAGAGCACTAGGGATATGTTAGTCTGATTCTAAGTGAGGATGATGGGGGTAACCTACGTGCTAGCATCCAAACCACGGGTAGAGTTATCCCAGCAAAAAACGGAACCACGAGATGCCATGCACTCGATGATGGAAACACGCTTGCGTTCACCACCAGAGACACCGCGGACGTACTCGTTACCGACCTTGGTGTCCTTGGTATGAGGGATGCTCATGGCCTCCAAAAGGAAGTCCATGTTCTCCTTGCGGTACTCTTCCGGGGAGGCAACGCCATCGGGGATCTTGTAAGGAATGTTGAGGCGGGTCGCAAAGTCCATGGTCTGGCCAACAGTGAGGGTGGGGAAGAAGACTTCCTCCTCGTTGTTCATGACGATCTGACCGCGGTACTTGTGAGCCTCCTTGGCGTCCATGGAACCAAAGTGGACATCACCGTTAACGGCAACATAGCCTTCGCGCTTGTTGGCCAAGAGGTTGAGAAGGGTGGTGCATCCGGAACCGGGACGGCCCAGGACCAACAACATCTCACCGGGCTTGACACATCCATGGCTGTTGTCGAGGATGGTCTTGAGAGGGGGCTTCTGCCTTCCTTCTTGGATCTTCTTGGGAATGTTGAACTGAGATAGGACGTTTTCCTGGATGGCGGCGTCCGAGTTGATGACCTGGACGGTAAGATCTTTCCACGTAACACCCAGCTCGCGGGCAGGGATTCCAGAGCTTTGCTCAAGCTCCTTGATGGCCTCAACCTTGTGTTTGAGACCCCATGTGCGGTTATCAACAGCGTTTTCCTCTTGTGCAGAGGCAGCACTGCTGCTGCTGCTGCTGTCGCCTTGAACGCCCATGGCGGATGGGTTGGTGACCGGTAGTCGGTGGTCGGCCGCTTTGAAAAACAGTGGTGGTGAAACTTGTTGATATCAAAAGGCAAGGAGGTGATGATGAAATTCCGATGGAGGGGGTGGGTATTAGGGGTTGAATTTATGCATGTATTAAGGGTAATATGTATTTGAACTGAAGAAGAGAAGATCAAGAAGATGATGGGATTTGGAAAATGAAGGGGAAAGGACGTATTTCTACACCTCTCTGGGATACCTCACAGTATGATAAGAAGTCGGAGCTCGGCTTTTGTGTGGTGGACACTCACCAACGGCGACCAGCCGTTTGTGGGTTGTTTGATTCCATGTCGCCGCGACGCCCGCTTACGAGATTCTCGGGAAGTGGAAGCGGCGGGAGGATGGGGGACAGCTGAACGGAGTGCTGTGATGGGAGCTAGCAGCACGGTGTGCCTGGATCTTTTGCCTTTTGCGTCTATCCTAGGCTTGAGAACGTGTACGGGGTGGATCTGGGATCCATGACGGAGATTGATAACAAAGGGCGGCCGGCCTGACATGGAAGCTTCGATGAGAGCTCGAAAGGCAGACCAATGATGGAGCAGTCCCGCGTACCCATGGGGGCGGCTTGTCATCATTTCGCCGCTTACCTAAGGCATCTTGCCGGTGAAGAAAACACGAAATATCCACTTTTGGAGGTTCAAGGGTTTAAGGTTTCTCCTCGATCGGGCTGACGAGCTCCGACTTGTGGGACGCGGCAACGGGGAGATGGAACACTGCACGCCGCTGCTGTTTTGAAATCCAATCCATCCACTTTCAGCGGTCGTTTCTACATGGGGAAAGAAAGCATGGGAGATCTCTGTGCCTACGTGGACATTGGTAGGATCGATATCAGAGGGGACGTCCAACGCAAGGCAGACCGTAGGGGGCTAGGCGATAACAACACACACTCCATCGACGACGACGACGACGCAGAGATTTGTGAGATGAAAGTGCCAAGATCGATCTCTGGATCCAAAGCCGTGGTGGCGTCGCAGCCAAGTGGAGCAAAGGACGGTTCGGCGGGATCGAGGGGAATCGGAGGGCCCTATTTCCAGATATTTGGTTGGCTGGAAAGACGATGTCCAGACAGACCCCGGCTTCGTCACAGTAAATCCCCGCTTAAGTAAGCGGCAAATTGTCTTTTCTGCGTCTCAGTCTCGACCCGGACTCCGTAGAAGCTTTTGATAGAATGTGCGAACTGGTGGAGATACGGAGGGGCGCGATGTCTAACGCCGGCTACACACGAGGTTGCGGTGTCTGTCTGTCTGTCTGTAACTGGAGGTCAGCAAGTGAGCCCTAAGCAGGCCGGCAGATCCGGAGAGCGGTCTACAGTGTGAACGGTGAATGAGTGATTGGGGAGCGGCAATTGCCGTGAAGTGATTGTGATGACTGAGCATTTACACTACTGACCTCTTTTCATGATTGTGGAATGTGAATGAATTCCGAGAAGCTGAACTTTCACCTTATTTTGGGCATATCGAGGTGATGGTCCGTGCATCGGGGAAATGGCAGACCCCGCTCCGATTTTTCTATACGGCGGCCCCCCCCCCCAACATGGACTGAACCGGATCCCGCCCACGCACCCGCCCCGCCGCGTCGGTCGTCCTTCCATCATCCGCCTAAACTCGGAAGAGTGAGTGAGCCATCAGTGTTAGTGCTTAGTGGTGGGTGGTGGTGGGGTACTTAACAGCCAGCACACTGCAATCTTGACCATCGATATACATACGCCTTGAGTAACTAATACCTCAATCAAGGCGATAAATAAGCTACGCATGTTGTCCATTGGTGATTCTGCTATCTGGTCTTCTTTTCTTCTTGTCTAGTCGAGTGGAAACTATGCTTGGTGTCGTGGACAAATCTACAGGCACGTATACGTATATGCCGACATGTTGGTGAAACTCGGGCAGTGCACTAACAATTATTCCAGGGACTCACTACTTAACACGTCCGTCGGTCTAAATCGGCCCGACCCGAGTTTCCGGGCATGTAAATTGTCGGAACTCAAGTCCGGAGGGCTAACTGACTGACTGACTGACTGACAGCCGAATACACTACAGATGGGGAAAAGGAAGGAACAATACAGAATTGATGATGATGATACATGGCTGACGAGTGATGACGGGAGCATGGTCTTCCTTTGTTCTTTTTTCCAAAAACAGTTAACAGTCCCGGAAGAGGCGAGGCGCGTGCGAGCACAGTACACTACGGTATACACTATAGACTGACGTTAACATATTCCCTCCCCCCGGACGCCGCCATGTGTTAGTAGCAGATGACGTGACGGCTGCTGTCTTACATGACATAACCATGGGCACTTCACATCAATCCCGTCTGTTTTCGGTGTCATGAAAATTTCGGAGCTTCCACTCTGCAAGTCTGCAGGTCTGGACCAAAACAGCATTTGATGCTCCTTCGATCTGTTTCAAACTGGCTCGACCAGTCAGTCACTCGACATCATGAACCCTGAAACTCCTCTCTTGTCTTTTTTCAGGGTCGGTCCCATAACATCCAGTCCCTCTGGCCCGACGGTTGACTGAGACCGCATCCGGATGTACACTCGACACATTCCAGGTTTATTACCGACACTAACAGCACTGCAGCTTAAGTCCGCTGACAAACCGTTAGTACAACACAACATCCACGCCAGCGTCTGACAAACCTCAACGGCGAGTATCTACCTGCCTTACCTGGTATCGTACAACCAAACCAACCTGTCAAGCCGTCGCCAAGGTGCCACAGGCCGAGACCCAAGTACCACTGATCCTCTCCATCTTCCCGACGCCATCAGGCTTGAGGCGCAATGACCTCCCCTCAAACAAGGCAGAAGCGGAAGAGAGCATGCGACTCGTGTCACCGGCGAAAGGTGTGTATTGGATAACCTCTACTGTACACTACTACATACCTCTATTGCTTCCATCCTACATAGGTATACATATACTTACTTTGTACACTACCTACACTAGATCCAATGTGATAGCGCCGATGTGCCCTCGTCCAACTGCAATTGGTGCCATCACCATGGCATGACATGCACCTTCAATCGCCGCTTGGTCGGACGAAAAACGTGGACTCGGAATAGCACCAACTCAACCTCGACCCCCTCTGCCAGTGCCGGCCCCTCCTCCCCCTCCTCGGCTATCGTCGACGTCGGTCCAGGTGTCGGCCCCTCTTCCTCCGATCCCCGTCCCCCTAACGCAACCCAACCTCAGCCGCATCCGTCACCACTCCCGCCTCACCCACAATCACTGCCACCCCTGGCCGCCCATCTTGGCATCTCGTCTAGGCCAGGATCGAACCCAGATCTCAGCAACTCCCACCATCGTCACTCATCTTCTTTCGGTGGATCGATCGACGACAAGATCCATGCCCAGCACCTGGACCCTTACCATCCACACTCGCATTCATCGTCCGCTGCCTCAACTCCTCCTTCAACATCTGCCTTTACTCGTCCAACCTCCCGTTCTGGTCATCACACCTTTCCATTTTCGGTTCATCCAAGTCCCCTGTCCCGCACCCATTCCCCTCACGGCAGTGTCTCCTCGGACCACACATACCATACCCCTGCCCAGTATCAACATCAACATCAACACCAACACCAATCACAACAACACCATCATCAACAACACCATCACCACCATCACCAAGAACCAGATCAAGTCCACCCCGTCTACACCCACTTCCCCGTCGCCAACCTCAACCTCACCCCCAACCCCGGCTGTGGATCCTACTTTGGCAAGCTCCACTTCGCCGGCTATCACTTGGGAGAAATCTCCTCCTACAACGGCATCCCCTTCTTCTCCGAAGACGGCCAAGCATGGATCCGTTCTCGTACCGGCCAACAGGCCTCCTTCCCAGCCATATGGGGTGACATTCCCCCTTGGCAGACGCGGCCCAGCGCCGATTCGGGTCTTCTCTGCAAGGTGGCAGAAAAGCCCATAGAGCAGATCGAACTGCCTGATCGCAAAATCGTCGAGCAATATCTCTCCTTCTTTATAAGTTCCGAATTCCGGCTGGCGTTTCCGCTGGTTGACCCGGTCTTGTTCAGACAGACGTTGGATTTGGCTTATGCACATGGGCAAGGGGACAGGAATGGGTTGGGTTTTGAGCAGATCACCGCCAAGGCCTGCGTGTTTGCTTTCCTGTCGGTCATTTCGCTGCTGGAGGTCGAGAGGACGCAGAGGTTCCCGGATATCCCCAACATTGATACGGATATGATGGCTGCCAAGGCGCAGATGCTTTTGCCGCTAACCATCCAGGCGCTGGATATCACCAGTCTACAAGCGTCTTTTATGCTCTGTCTGTACCAGCTCTTCTTGGGACAGGTCCAATCATCAGCTATGCTTTTGGCGTTTGCTTGTCGGATCATGTTCATGCTGGGCGGACATAAACTGTCTAATGCTTCCTGGCTACCAACTCCAGGGTCTGGTTCAGGGAGTGCAACGACCACACCGGCTTCGGCCCCCGTTGATCTCGCAGACCGTAAACGCCGTCACCTCCGCAGGCTCTTCTGGCTCTGCTACAGCGTCGACACGGATATTTCTCTCCGAACAGGCCAACCCCCTTCGATCGACGACGACCACTGCGACCTCTCCTTACCGCCAGGCTACCTCGAAATCCAATTCCTCGACCGTCGCGAGCTGGAAACCCTTAAGGAACGGCACTTTTCTTCCTTAAACTCCCACCCCAACTCTTATCCCAGCATGCCTTCCCCTTCTCCCTACCCCTACAGCCAAGGAGCAGGACCATTCGTTTCTAATAATCCCTTCAAAGCCCCCGGTGGTCCTCCTCCCACAGCCATGACATCAGCACCCCAAGGACATGGACATGGATTCGGACATCCCTCCCTTGAATTCCCCTACCTCCAACTAGACGAAACCTCCGTTCCTGCTTTACCAGGCGACCTCCGCCTAACGCTCATCAAATCCAAAACCTGCAAACTTCTGTACTCCGCCTCCGCCCTGCGCAAGTCCGACGCCGAGTTGCTGCGAGACATCCGCGAGCTAGACGACGAGCTGGAAAGGTGGCGGCTATCCGTGCCAGAATGGTATCGGCCTGCGTTGTCGCTATCTAGGACTTCACGTGAGGGTCCTCCTCCGCGCGGCGGGGATGAAACAGGTACATGGTCATCTCATGGATCTGGACGTGCCTCTGAGCTAGATGAACGGGGACAGGGGGGGTACGGACAAAGTCAGAAGGGCCACGGAAAGACTGGTTACGACTCTACTACCATGTCGGGAGGCGAAAGCGTTCGCACCATCATTATCAACCTACAGTACCACCACCTGGTCGCCACCATTCATCAAGCGACTGGTCGCTGTCGAGCGTGGCAGAACCGGAGCTCGGTGCTAGAGGAAAGCAGCATGAGCGCCGCAAGGACGGGGGAGATGTTGATGGAAGGCGTCAGCTCGAGCTTGGCGCTCAGTGTAGAAGCCAGTCGATCGACACTTATTTACCTGCGCTCTGTTACGCGTGCCTTGCTGGGTGAAGCGTTTTGGTAGGTCTTTCTTTGTTTCTCTAATTCCTGCGCACCCACACCAGTCACTTCTCCCAACCACCATTTTACCTCTACTACCTACCTACCTACCTACCTACCTACCTACCTACCTACCTACCTACCTACCTACCTACCTACCTACCTACCTACCTACCTTTGAGGTATATACCCCCAGCCGGAACTAACAATGCCAAAGGGTCATAATCCTCTACCCAATGTCCGCAGTCATGACCATCTTCTGCTCTATCCTACTTAACCCGCTCGATCCCCAGGCCGAAGACGATTTGAGACTACTGGAATCCGCTCCAGATTTGATCAAGGGGATACGTATCCGTCGACTGACGCATACGGAGCTGTTGCACTTGAAGACGGTGGATGAGTTCATGGGGGAGTTGATGAGGTTGGGTGGGTGTGCGATTCGACGGGCCAAGGAGGAGAAGAGGGAGAGGGAGATGAGGGATTTGGAGCGAAGGAGGATGGGAGGGTTGGGGGGGTATAGGGTGCCGGAGTTGTTGAGTGAGGGTAGTGGGGGGGTAAGACGGCGAGAGGGATGGCGATGGGGAGTGCTTGGGGGTGTTGGATGGAATACCTGTAAGGACTGTGAAATGGCTCCCTGAATCATGTGTGTCTGTGTAGAGAAGTGATGGTGGATATACTGGGGGCGTATAAAAGGGCATTTCAGGATTGGGAGGGAATTCATGACCGCAGTGTTTTTGGTTTGCTTCGTTGGATCTGTACAGGTACAGGTAGAAGAGGTCATACTAGGTACTTGGAGACTGAGGTACTTGCATTTCACTGGTTGAGTTCTCCTCCTTTATCACTTCATCATACCATGTCTTGTGCTAACAATGTCCGCGTCGTTTATTGTTCATAACTGGTATCATGGGATCAAGGAGGTGTTCTGTGCAACCTTTACGCTTCTTGAAAGAAAAGGAGGAACAAGTTCCTGAAAATGGGCGTGGAAGAAAAGATGTTGATGGACATAACCAGCCGTCCCAACAAACGCTCGGTTGGTTGAAAATGCTTCTATGACAACGCTCCGTGCGTAGTGTACTATTGGTGGGCAGACAGTCGGTCGGTGTGATGGTTTAGGTTCCATCCTCGGGTGAGGCGTCACTGTTTGCTTCAATCACCTCACCTAGGCCATCCCGGTCCGCGTCTCCGATCACATATCGTTTTTGTTAGGTAAGATAGCCAACTCCTCCCTTTCTTCTTCTTTTTCTTCACTCGCTTAGGTTCCTAGAGGTAGGTTCCAGTGTTTATCACCTCTAGATATCTGCGGCTGGATCTTTGCTGTGTAGGTATGACGTGGGTGGCTTGTCCCAGCCGTCTTCTTTCATGTCACGGGTGCCAAAGCAGCGGTAGTCCAGGGGGTTGTCGATAACGGATATACAACACGAAAAACGAAATACTTTATTCACCGGCTTCAGACACGGCTCGTTGGATTTATTGATGTTTCTCGACCCCCGATGTAGCACGCGCTCTGCTTGTGGACAAACAGCAACTACACCTCTACCAAGGAGAAAGAGGAGGTGAAATGCACTAAAGGAAGAAGGGCGTTTGAGGTCATCGACAGTCTCTTATGACGAGATGGCTGAGCTTTTGTGATTTTCTACTAAGCAGATCATCGTCTACGAGACGGTCTCCTACCTCTAGAGGTAGTCAAGCAGTCGGCAATGGCATCACGGCGAGATAGACGGAGATGAACCAGGGGTCTCTTGGGGATTGTCGTATCGGGTGAAAAAGACTGGAGTCGGATTTGGGTCTCCAGACTCGTTGGGGGAGCATGGAGATGTCTCTGGGCGGTTCAGGTCTTTGAGAAGACGTCGCCAACGCCCAGGTGATATTATCTCTTCGATGTTGTTATCCCTTCTTTGGTGAGTTGTTCGTTCCCTGTTGGTGCTTTCATATATGTCGATGGTATATTGTAGGTCTTTGTTCACTCTGAGAAGTAAAGCGCAGAATCTTTCCCATCGCCAACTGGGCTTGGGCCAACTTTGGTGAGACGTTTACAACATGAAAGGAAAGGAGAGCCTACAGGGTCTTCTTTGACTGACTCTGAGATGAAGCAGAAGACGGAGAATGGAGTGATGGTACCTATGAGCCAGAACTTGCATACCTATAAAGCTGTTGATGGTCTTCCGATGGAGATGGTTTCTCTCAGCATCAGTTCGATCAACCCTGTCTAGCACCCAGTATAAACCTTCACCAAATCTTTCTCATTACGATACTGGCAGGAACAAAATCCCCAACCCGTCAAATACCACTACATCAACATCCACCCTCCCTCTATCTCCCAACCTCGAGCCCAAAACCGACGCACAACTGCACACGGCAGTGATCACCCCAACACACTATCAACAATAACAAGTCTCAAGACAAAAACAATGTGCCACTGGATCGCACAGTACCGCTGCTTATGCCGCTGCCTAGTCGGCTCCGCAACCATTTGTCCCGATAGATTGAAATCCGCGCCCTTCCTCGCACTTCCCGAGGGCATCAAGGAGCACAAACTCGATGAGGGTTATGATCCAGCCAGCTGTCCAAACCTCAAGAAGACCGTTGATATCCACGAGGAGGGTACTTTGCTGGACAGCTGCTCGGCGTCGACCACCAGTATTTGCCCCATTTCAAAAATGGGTACGAGCAAAGGCTCAAGATCGGTTGATGAATCCAAGGTGGAGGCCATTATGAAGAGAGATGATCACGGTACGGAGGTCGCGTTGCATATCACAATGTACGACCGGGATGCTGCGCTTGCTAAGGAGAGTTAGGTGTGTCCTGGGTTCCATTGAGTTGAGAATTAGGTAGGTACCTTAGGGTACCTGTGGATCAGGATCCAATTGGGGTCTAGGTACCTAGATAGTACATGGTCGTGGCGGATTGTTCAAGGCCGTGGATGCAGTTTCCCGGTAAATGGGAAGGTTGATTTGGGGTAACGAAGTGAGATTTAGTTAAAGACAGGAGGATACAGAAGCCAGGAGTCATTGACCTGCAGGCCAGGCATTCGAATTTGGTTCTTCTATCAACCCAATCCCAGTCGTCACAATCAGATACTCGAATATCGTTTTTTTCCTTTCCCTTTGTGTAGTTCCGCAGTGTGAATCCAAGGCTTACCTCATACAGCAAGTGTCAGTTGTGGGAAAACCGGGCAGGGAAGAAAATGGATCTACCTGCCCCTAGTAACCTAGTAGGTAAAAGAGCGCTGAAGGAGAAAAAACAGAGAAGAAGCAGAATACCAACGGCAAACAAAAAACCTTTGAAAATAGAATGACGAATCCAGGAGGCCAAATATCCCTCTACCACCTCTAGGGGTAGCATCCATCTACCTACTTGCAAATAAAAAACATCGCTCTCATCCCCAACACCACGTAACTCACAACCATACATCCACTGGGTCATCATTCACAACCAATTACCTAAGCACCCCCTTTACTTCCACGTCCTTCCCGTCTTCCCTCATCCCCATCCCCCTTCTCTTTTCCCTAGTGTAATCACTAAGGTAGGTACTTCTACCACTGCGGCATATCCGGCGGCGCCCCCATCGACGACCCCTTCCAGATATTCGCACCCCTAACCTTAGCCTTACAATCACCACACATATCCACCTCCTTCGTGGTTGTTTCTGTCGTCTGCCCGTCTTTACATCCACCAAAGGCCAGTGGTTTAGCCGTGTGCTCCGCTTTGAGCACTTCGTAGCAGGTGTTTCGGTCAATGTCGGATTGGGTGAGGTTCTTGCAGTGGGAGCAATAGGTTTCGTTGAAGGTTATTGTGCACATTTTGCTTGGGGGGTCGAATTGGGAATAGGAATGGGGGCTGTAGTTGGGAGTGTGAATAGAAGTGGTAATAAGCTGGTTATTCCGGTGGCTTGGTGATGCCTTTATTGTTCGTTGTGTTGTTGGGGCATGTTACCTCTTATAAGTAAGTATTGTACTGGGCGCGAATTTCTCGCTGCTGCTGCTTTTCTGCTTCATGGTTGTGAATGGCGAGGGTTGGTGAATCATTGAGTGTTGGGAATTACTCAAAACACGCCCAGTGAGTCCGGGTCTGCATCCTGCAAACGGACTATACTTCTCTAATCCAAAGATACCTCTAAAGAGTAGTAACTGCCAATGAATTTGGCAATTCGAATTACCTTCTACCTACCTTACCTACATGTACTTGCCTGTACTTACGTGCCCCTATCTTGTAGAATATACCTCTAATCAAGTCCCCGCAACCAAAAACCATCACATCCATTCCAATAACCAACTTCCAGCCCCAACGCCAAAGTCACCGCACAACCGGCCTACATACAGGTAGGTACATCCGCTTATTACTAACTATAACAACTCATTTGAAGCATCCCTTTTACTCCCATCCCTTTTCCTCCCTCCTCACCTGTTCCTCCCTCCTCACCTGCTCCTCATCTGCCCTGCTCCTCACCTCACCTCCCAATTATAGCGCACCCATCGCCGCCGCCTTCCACGCATCAACCTCATCATTTATCTTTTTCTTACATCCATCACACATCCCTTCCTCTTTCGTATTCGTCACCGATGTCTGGCCTTCTTTACACCCCCCGAAATCTAGGGGATTCATGGTGAACTCGGAGTTCCAGACTTCGTAGCATTTACTGCGGTCGACCTCGGATTCAATCAGGGTCTTGCAGCGGGAGCATTTAGTTTCGTTGTAGGTTACTGTGCACATTTTGTGGGGGTGAGGGGGGGTGGGATAATGGGGGGTGGTGTGAATAGGTAGGTAGAGGTAGAAGCAATGACTGGAAGCTTTTCCGGTAGCTTAGAGGTAGTAGAGGCGATTAAGGCAATAAGATACCTAAGCAAAGGCGTCCATTGTGCATTGTGTTGTGTCGTCTTGCTTACTTATAGTAAAGGCTGAGTTCCTTATCCCGACAAACTGGTTTTGTTTCATGGTCGTGAATGGCGAGGCTGGTGGATCATTGAGCGTAAGGTATTGCTAACTACACGAGCAAGGCCAGGTCTGTAAATGGACTATGTGATCCCAAGATGAAGCGAGACGGCGGCCCATGAATCTGGAAGCTCTGGATTACTCAAGTGTCTGTCAGTCTGGCAGTCTGTCAGTCTGTGTCTCATGGCGGCTGTCTTGACTCGTCTGACCTCAATTAATAGAGAGAGGCTTGTCAGTGTGTAAAGAAGTTGGCACGAGAATAGTACCTTTATCCGATAGTCCTGAACGCGTTGAGGAAGGGATGAAAAGAAGAGACATAGAGTTCGTTCCTCAACAGCACTTGCTAGAGGTATTCGTTATCGGCTGTACCGTTGACTCGGCTACGTAGGAACATCAGATAACAGAACCATGGGAACCGCGTGATAGCTTTTGTACCTCTACGCGTGCTCATCCGGTCTGAACTCAACGAGACCAGGCTATTGTGAAGTTTTGACAATAGCACAAAAGCATGTCGATTATTCCTCCGACAAGTTCACAAGAAAGATATAAAACACCTTCCAAGAACCCCTCAACTTTGTCGCTCTCTTCCAAGAACACTTTGTGACCAAAAGACCAAGAACCAAGCAAAGAAAGTCCACCTAGACTTTCACTCAAAGAAACACAACACAAGCAACAAGCTCTGCACTCACAAAACAACAAGATGTGCACCAAAAAGCAATACCTCTTCGTAGTCTGCGGCCACACCGAATGGTGCGAGTCGCAGTGCCAGACCAAGCTGAAGCGCACCTTGATGAACCCCAAGGACGAAAAATACCCGCCGCCTTGCGTCCCCGTCACGGAGGTGACCGACCCCATCAGGCTGGTGGGCAAATGCAGCACTTGCCGTCCCAGAACTCGCAGTGCGCGCAGTGCTTTCGGCACTACCAGTGCTACCAGTGCTTCCGGTGCTTGAACAACAAGAGGAAGAAGGGGGTCCAGGTGTGGCACTCGGCCTGACAAGGAATGATGGGAGATAAGAGGTAAATGCTTCTTGAGAACTGATAAAGTAGAGTTTCCTAACATTGTGACAGGAAGGGACGCCGAGGGAAGTTTAGAAGTAGGTTGCCGACTAAGGCTGTGGTGGAACAACCTGATTGAGAAAAGGTAGGGAACGCAATGCAAAGACGATGGCATGGACAAGGGAATGCGATGGATGAACAACATACCCGTAGATGTACTTCCAATAACAACTAAATCTTGCTCTAAGCCTTCCTCCTCTTGGCAGAAGGTTCATCCTTCTCCTGACCCTTCTCCTTGATCAACTCCTTTTCCTGCTTCTTGACCCACGCCACAGCCTCCCTAATAATCCTCTTCTCGCCCGCCCTAACCCACACAGCCATCTCCTTCCTCGTCGTCGGCCTCCCGCCCTCAATCCCCGCAAGAACCTTCTCATCCTCCTCCAAACTCGTAGCATACTGCCCCTCCCTCTCCTCCAACGCCTTCCTCACGCCACCCAACAAGATCTCCTTCCTCACAGTCTTGTTTCCCAACGCCTCCGCCACCGCCCTATCCCCTGTCCCAACCACCTTCTTCACAGCCTTCAGGTACGTCTTGACCTGCTCCTCCAACTCCTCCGGCAATCCCATAAACTCCGCTTCACCGTGGACTTGCCCCTCCGAATCCGGATCCTCGCTCTGTCGTTCCAACACAAAACTATCCTCCCACTCTCCCTCCTCCTCCTTCTGCTCCTCAACCAACTCCTCGACCTTTGCCCAATCCACCTCCTTCTTCCTCCCCTTTATTCCCTCCACCATCTTCTTCAAGCCCCCTTCCACCAACCCCCACCCCACCTCCACCACATCATACCGCGCATGATTCGGCGTGACATAGCCATACCTTCTCAACAGCTCCGCACTGCTCAGCGGCCCATAATAATTAAGAATCTCCTCCCCTTCTTTGATCTCCCTCAGCGACGTAGCCGTCAGGCACGCCTCTCCATGATTAATATGCGCATTAAACACCGCATCGGCATTGAGCATATCCGCCATGGGCACCATCCCCATCGTATCATTCATTCCCCCGATTCTATCCTCGACCCACCCATCTTCTTCCTCTTCTTCATCCCCTTGGTCGTCATCCTCCTCCTTGGCCAAATCAAAAGCATACGCCATGATCGCCGACCCCATCCTATGTCCCAGCTTCAACAATTCGCCCTCCTCCAACCTTTGTGTCTTTGGTGTTCCCGCAGGGTAGAAAACGTCTTGATTCTCTTGCACCACCTTGACGATTTTCGTGCGAATCATCTTATCCGCCTCGTCCTTGCCTACTTTGGCTACTAGCGCACTAGCTTGCAACTCGGCCAGTTCCGCCTCAGTCCAAAACATGGGCGTGTCGAACTGGTGCGGGAGGACAGACAGGTAAGGGGACCAATTTGAAGAAGAACCCTGGAGGTACTCGTGCATGAGAATCAGGATGAGTAAAGTCCAGGAGTCCTGGGACTGGGAGTCTTCCGCGTCGTCGTCGTCGTCATTTTCGGGGGAGGGCGGCTCGTCGTCGGCGTCGGCGGTGTGGGAGGGGGATTCCTCGGCGACGGTGGGTTCGGCGGGTCCTTTGAAGAGGTGCGGCAGCTTTTTGGCGAGGGGGGAGGTGGTGGCGCAGAGGATGGAGGCGCGGGGGATGGTGAAGAGGGTTGTGTCGGCGGGGATGGGGGCGGTTGCGACTGGGAGGAGGGTGTTAGTGATTGTTTGATAGTGTAGATAGTAGAGGGGTGTGAGAACAAGGTGGTGAAAGTCGTGAGCTTTAAGTTGAGAGGGAGTGGATTGACATGAGAGGTGAAGGACACTTGGCGATATTTCGCGACTGGGTTGAGTTGGAAAGGAGAAAAACTCACTAATACCACGGCCGGCGCTCTTGTCTCTCAGATCAACAAGCTTGATGTCCTTGTGAAAGGTGGCGCCGGGCTGGCTTGTGAACCATTCGAGGAACTTTTGAGTTTGCTGCTCAAAGTCACCGGCGGGTACGGTATCCGTGGTGGTGGCCATGGCGGGCAACGGTAGTTGAATGAGCGAGGTAATTGTTTGAGTCCAAAGGAATGACCAGTGATGTTCCGACAAAGAATCTTTGCCAGGGTAGGTGAGAGGTTGGAAAGTGGTGATTTCAGAATTCACCGTTCTGAGATGGTGAAATTTCCAAAAGGCCGAGATAACTCCAGCGATCTTCCGACTTGTTAGTGGACTTCTCAAGGGTGGCTCGTGCACATCTGACAAATAATGAGGGTTAGGGTTTCACTCGCTCCTCGACCGCCACGGTTAAAGATGCGCTTGACGCAGATAAAACAAAGAAAAGGGGGTAAGACCATTCACTGGCTCTAGAAAAATGGACATAAAGCAAATACAACGTGTCATTTGCTTCATTGTGCCTTGTAGGTTGGTCCCCAAGTTGACAGTTAGTCCTTGCCTTATGGTGTTTCTCTTCGACTCTTGTGCGTGGTGCTTTCCCCTAACTCAAATCGGTTGTGCAGGGAAGGTTGGAAAATGCTCTTGAAAGTCTGTTGCTAGCCGCCAATGTATACGATACCGCGCTTTTCCACCATCAGATACCGACATGTGTTGCCTTTAAGATAGGAGAGTGCGGCGCGGGGTTGAGTACCAGTGAGCAAGAACGTGTGTGAGGAACGCCAGAAAGTCCTGAAAGTGGTCGAGCTGCTCCGAGTGTGAAGATGGTCGATGGTTGTTGAAAGGGGGTGGAGAGTTGCTGACAATCGGGTCCTTTGAAGGTTGGCAAGTTACCGCTGGTAATGCGATACGTTATGGTCTGTCGGCTGTTGAATTCAAGCGAGTGACATGTTTCTCTGCCGGCTCCTTCGTGGTCCGACGTCACGTCGTTTGCCTTCTCTGCTGTTAGCTCCACGGTTAGTCCATCACATGCAACACACTTCAGCACCCCCCGATGCTCAAGATGCAATGTCGCAGTCCTCAAGAACTTGATCGAACCGTCTTGCATGCAAACAATAATCATTCTGGACTCCGGCCCGCAGGTATGAAATGGGTATGCGGGATTATGCCAGCCTCTATGCCCATCGATATAGTACAGGGGTGTATACAATAAAGGGATGCTTCTTCTCTTTCTTCACTTTCCGTTTTCTCTCTTCTTGGCGCTCCTCACGCTCCGAGCCTCTTGAGGATCTTCTCTCTGACGATGCGCTGAGCGACAGCGGCACCCTTTTCTAACGAGATGGCGCCAATGATGGCGAAGAGGGTGGAGTTGAGGACGACGACGACACCGGAGGATTCGAGATCTTCGGGCTAAAGAATTACACAAGGTTTCGTGTTAGCAAGTAGCAAGCTCTGGGATCAAGACATGAGGGTGTTACCATTCTGGGCTTCCACCGCATGACGGTGAGCAAGCCAAAGTCGATGCCCATCCGTGCGATCTTGGTCTTGTCCATAATGTCTAGCGGTTGCGTGTAGATGAGCTTGTCGATGTTGGCCAGGGCGGCGTGGTTGTAGGGCGTGCGGCCGTACTTGTCGACGATGGGCTCGTTAAGGACGGGGCTGGTGAGAATAGAGCGGGTCGTCTCGAGGGCGATTATTTGACGGCCTGACAGAAATTTGTTAGCCGTGGTCTGTATTGTTGTTTCCGTCGCGAGATATCCGTCTCCCCAAATATTTCCTCTTGCGACCGAGACCACTGCCAGAACGTACCGAGGAAAGCCAGCCGTGTGTTGTAACCTCTCCTTCCGTAGTCGAAACTCTTGTGGGTGACGGCCAGCCACTTGGTCTCCTCTGATAGCATCCTGCTGCCGCCCTGGCCAAGGAAGGCGTCGTAAAAGGCATCCAACTTTGCCGGGTCGCTGTTGACCATCCACTGCTTGCGCCTGGGGTCCTTGACGAGGTTGAGGGAGAAACCGGGGCCCTTCATGCGCTCGGGGGTGTAGGACCACCTTGGCCTGGGCTGCTGCGAGCTGCTGCTGCCGGAAGCATCTTGTTCTTGTTGGACAGCCGACGACGACGAGACCTGGCGGGCGACGGGGACGGCAGCGAGTTGTTGGACAGCGACAGGTCGCCTAGAGCATTGCTGGGCAACAGTCTTGCACGTCGAGGCGAAGACGGAACGGGAGGGTGTGAGGGCGGCCATTGTGGTCTATTTTTTTTCTTTTATTTTGGATGCGACTGGAGATGCGACCACCCGAGGCGAGACCGTGGAGATACTACTACGAGGTTGAAGGTATGGATGGAGATGTGGATGGATGTGACGGGGTCGTGGGGTAGAAAGAGGTCGAGGTCGGAGATGGGCGCCCGTTTCCACACTGGCTCGCAAAACACCACCACCAAAGATTCCGGAGTCCTTCAAGGAAAGATGTCGCGCGGCTGACTGATCGGCTCGGCGCGGTCGGTGCACAGGCTGGGGAGTGGTTCGACGGGTCGCTGAGCGGAAAGTCCAAAGTCCCAAGGCAAGGCTCCGGGTCCGTTCGCGTGCCTGGAGTGGGACGGCAAGACGGGAATTTTTTGCGACCGATCGAGGGACGGGACTGGACTGGATGGACCCCTCCCTCGGCGGGCAGGCTTGGATACGGGCGGGCCTAGCTCGGGTGGTCTGTGCGTTGACGGATGGTCACTTCACAAGTACTTGACCTTCCTTCTTCCCTCCCGTTCCGGGGTCCTGTTGCTCAAAAAGGTACATCGGTCAGGTACCTTTGAGAAGAACTGCAAAGAGCAGGGGACGCTCAGGTCCGCAAACCAATCGATTTACACGGCGCGGGCAGCCCTGTCGCGTCCAGGGCACCTCCACTGTTGGTTCAGTGCCTGGGGCTGTTAGTGCTTCCTTGTCGCGTCCCTTGCAGTTAAACTTCCTTTTGTTCATCTCTTCAGTTCCCTTCTTCTTCCCCAGCACTGCTTTTCGTCAAACAAGAAGGCTACCGACTCTTCCCCAAGGCACTCCATGCTCATCCATACCTACCTAGTCACCATGTGCTCCGGTCTGTGACCTCACTGACCATCTCAGCACCCGCAATTCCACCGTCTCCAAACGCGATCGCGACTCTTGCTCGGCCAAGATGAGCTCCTCCTCCAACCAGGTGAATGCTGGTGGCAGCACCACAAACGAACTGTTGGAGAAGCTTGCTTGTGTGCTGCCAAAGGACCTCAAGTTCTCGGTCCACCACCTATCGACACCACCCACCCGCACCGATGCTCTCTACGTACCTCCTCCGGGAGAGAAAGCCGACAAGACTTATTGCGAAAAGCACTTCCTCGCCCTTTCGATCGAAGCCCCCGTTACTGGTGCTCTCAAGCGGTCTTCCCCTGGCGCTGACGAGGCAAAATCGACCGAGACGGCAACAAAACAAGTTATCGCCTTCGCCATCGAGGTGTTCATCTTTACCACCGCCTTCCAGACAGTCCTGTTCGTCTCCAAGGCCGACTCGACCGGTTATCTCCATCTTCTCAAACTACCGAGAGGAGGTCCTTCTCCCATTAGCCAAGTCAGCTCGACCCTTGTATCCTACCTCATCCAACATCGCCGGCGAAAGAACATTGTCTCTGTCGTCAACCTCTTCGGCCGTGCGCAGAGCCAGTACCTCTTCCCAGGTAGTGGTGAAAACGACGGAATCGGGCCAGGCAGGGAGAAGCACATTCTTAGCGATCGGGGTCTCATCAAGTGGTGGTGTCGTGTTCTCAACCCGCTTCTGGAAGATCAGCGCAAGGATGATCGGGTCGCGGCTACCAAGGGATACCTCCTTGTTCCTGGTCTGGAAGAGCGGGACATGCGCGCCTTTATTCCGCGGACCGTCACCAGCGCCAACGACTGGGAAATTGGCCATCCCATGGAGAGGATATCCCACTATACCCAGGAATTCGACTGGGTACCACCTAGGTGTCTGATACCGCGATACCCAGACGACCCAAAGTCGCGTTACAGGGATGAGCTTGACGAGGAGTCTGCAAAGTGGAAGCAGGATATGGGGGCTTGGAAGAGCATTAGGACATTGAACCAGTTCTGGGATACCATGGCCTTCAGACAGGAATGCTCATCCGGGCGATTGACAGGGTTCATTTGGCTGGTCTTTGATCCCAACAAGTCGGAAACAGAAGAGCAGGCGACACAAGCCACGACGGCTTCGTTCGCAACGTCGTTTGCATCCGCGCCACTCATGACCCCAACCGGCTCTTTTGATGCTTCCACCGCCTTCCCTCCTTCCACTCCACCAAAGCGTCGTGCTGATGTGCCGGCCCGTACGCCACAAGCCAGCCCACTCAAGGCCTCTTTCACAGCTGGAGAGATTACGAATTCTCAGCCAGACATGGCCAAGGAGACCAGCAAGACAGAGAAGGAGAAGAAGAAGAAGCTAAAAGGTCGCATCACGCCTCGTGTTCCCAAAGTCAAGAAACACCAACGGAATTACCTCTTCAAGCGACCAAACACCACGGCCTACTACCATTGGCCGACCGAGGGCCGTGGCGACCTAATCGTGGACGAGCATGACTACAAGCGCGTGGTGGAGCTACTGCTGCAGCTTGATTTTGAGACGCTGGAAAAGGCTTGTAGTGCCACCAAGCGATGGATCAGCGAGGCTGGCATGGGTACCAAATGGGGACATGAGGTTGTTGGGAGGCGGGTCCAGACCGTGACAAGTGCCACTGCTGACCGGGGAAGCGCAGCTCCAGTCAACAATCTGACGGGGTTGGTGAGGAAGAAGAAGCCGGCTGCTATTGAGAGTGGCGCGGCGGACGTAAAGACGAATGGGTTAGAGGACCCCTCTACCGAGAATGGGACACCAGCAACACCAAGTGAAGCTGTCAAGCCACTGGTGCTTGAAGCGCCCAAGGTAAATGTTCTGGGGGCTGGACTGATTAGGAAGAAGCCCAAAACGTCAGCTTCGGTCCTCTGATTACTCTTTTCTTTCTTAGTCTCTATGATACCTATTTGTATTTGTTTCGTTGGCATGATACCTTTTCGGAGACAGCGGGATGGCGGAAATGGGGATGGGGTCAAATGGATGGGTGTACATAACAAGCGGACCGTGGTTTCGTGACGTGTGGATGGGTCTTGAATATTGAAATGAATTGACCGTTGGCTATGATTTAAAGTTCCTATCAACCTATCAACCTAGTACCCCTTCCGAACCCCGGCCCTTCCTCCCACCAACCTATCCACAGTCACACACCCATCACTCAACGCCTCTCGCCACGCCCTTCGCCAACCCTACTTGCATCCTCATCCCATCCGCCGCCCTCGCCGTCACCTGACTCCTCGTACTATAGTGTAATGGGTAAGTTAAACCGGTGGAGCCGGTACCGACAGGGGTTGCCGGAACCTCTTAGCATGGCCATTTGCCTTCACTACCAGAATTCTAGCTATTTATCTTCAACACCAAAAAGATCATTAATTTTCTATACTAAATACTAATATTTAGTATACATTCCATTAGCATCAATAACAACTTGGCACCTCTCTAGCATTAAAGCCAAAAGTTCTACTAAATATTCCTCTAATAATTCATTCCAAACCTCCAAAACATAGCAGCAGAGTCGTAAATAAATAGGCTTCTCATCAATACTATATTTATCCTTAATAAAATCCTTTATCCAATTCTAAATAAATTCTATTAGATTTAGATCTAGGGAAAAAGGTAGTTATTTAATAGTATTAATACCTCTATTTCGAAGCTTATTAATAATTTTAATTATAATATAATTAAGGGTATTATTTTATATTAATAAAAAAAAGTAACTATTTGCCCGAGAAGAACGGAAGTATTTATTAATAATAGGAAGGGTATATTCTCTATAGGAAATAGTATTAATAGTACCCTAATCCTTTTCTTAAAAAAAGCTTAGGCCCTTTCCTCTTCTAGAGAAACTGCTCTAAAATATTTATTTGGATTTTTTTTAATATTTTTTAATAATATAAGTAGAGTTAAATTCTTTTTTTTACTTATAAGTAACGAATTATTTCCGATAAGGGCTACCGGTTACCTAGGTTTTATTTATTTAAAAGATTAATGCCTATTGTTGAAGAGTTTAATAGATATATTCTAATACTTATTAAAGTTAAATACCCCGGTTCCGTTCCGAAATTGGAGGTTTTTTCCAGGTAGACCGCCGGCGGAATTTAAGACAATAGAGGGTATTTTTAATAATTTAAATTCTAAAAATAGCCCTAAAAAGAACTATTAATAATTGAAAAAAAGGCATCCTTCTAGTCTTTTTAGAGTTATAAACGAATTCTACTAACTCTTACTCTTGGGCTTTGTCTAAAGTTTGCGGTTAGCCCGCCCGGGGAGTAATGGCGGTAGTTTTAGACCGATAAGTATATCGGATTTAGTCTTTAGAGAAGCTAGTTATTTGGGCGATTTGACTCTAAGTAACGTTAGCGTTGAAATAAAGCGTTCTAATTCTGGTTCGCTCCTTAAGGGAGAGATGCTTCCTCCTAATAATGTTTTTGGGCCGAACTATAATACTTTAGTACTTTATTAGATAATGGTAATAAAGGTAATAAATTTAAACAATATAAAAAGAAGTATTTCAAAGTCTTTTTCTATAGAATTTTAGTAGCGAATAATATAGTGGCGATTTTGCCTGCATTTTGCATTAATTATACTTTTATTTTGAATAGAGGTACCGATAGGGGGCTGATATTCCCTATCGGTACCCGATATAGGGGTTTAACTTTTGCTCCCAACTACAGTACGCAGCTTCGGCTTCACCATACAACCCGCCGTCCTATCCATGACCAGTCCTTCTTCTCTAGCAATCAGGCCCATCTTGAATCTTTAACATCACCTTCTCCCACAACACAACCGTAATAAACTCATACCTTCTGTACACCAAAGCCACAACAACGAGTTCGTAGATTCAGGTGAAGTTGAAGAGTTGGCCTTTTTCTTCTCTTTGTTCCCTCTCCATCCCCCTCAGCCCCTCTTCCTCTTCCTCTTCATCATCCTCTCTCCCCCAATCCCCCAAACCAACAACATCCTCACCTACACTCCGCTCACCCAAAAGCTCCCTCTTGCGCCCCAACATCCACCCACCTCTATTACCATCACCTCGTATGTATGCAGAACCACCTCAAAAGTCGGATAGGTCCCACCCCTCCTTTGATACATACGGTTTTAGACGTCAAAAGCGAGGGTCGATGTTCATTTCGACTTGTCTTTGCTTGTCCCTGTCACAAAGCTGTCCTTGTTAGAGGTAGGTAGGTAGGTAGGTAGGTAGGTGTCCAGGCTCTTGAGCTTAGTTCCAAGCTACTCCAGGCGGGAGCTGCCATATGGCCGTTGCCATCCTAATGCCAGTTTAGGTATCGACGGGGAACGGCGGCGGTTCGGTTACACTACCTCTACAAGTAAGTACACCATGTAGCGAACACAATCCATTCCATACCTAGTTCACAGGATTTAGGCGAGTGCAGCGGCTCGGGTACCTAGGTCGTCAGTCCTCGGACCGTTCCTTTCGGCTGTCACTGTGATGACCCTCGAGAAAAAGTGACCTGTAATTTGGGGGATTTGGGGGTTTTGAGCTGGGTGCCCGATGTTTGGGCTCTTGTGTATGTCTGTCGGTAGAGGTAGTTAAATGGGGGAAGTTGACCCTAACCCTATTTGTTTCGTTGGGTGAGGGGGGACCTATTGGGGGAAGGTGGGAGACAATGATGTCGCTGTCGTTCTTTTTTGGGGTTCTTAGTTCAACTTCATCCAAGAAAGGATTCCCTCTTTTTACCGTGGGCCATTTACCTTTTGATTTGTTTTGATAGTTCAAATCGACAAAAGTTGATTCATACAAGACAAACAATGTTCGCGCTGCTTACGGTGTTTGTGTCTTTCCACTCAGCGTCCATGTGATTATCTCCCTGGCTCTGTCATGTCATGCCATGATCCGACTTCCGATGCCAGACGACATACGGTGCTGTGCGGGGAAATGCCAATTCAACACTGGAGTTCACTAGGGACCACCAAGAAAACACCGGACCACTCAGTGACGAGAACCCCACCGCATATCAGGGTCTTGTGTGAAGCGGTCCCCTGGAAAGAGCGTGATAGACCCTGCACCTCCCTGCGCTTTTGGCGGCAACAGCAGCGGCGCGTGGCACTGGATGTGGTCCAGTGGATTTCTGTCCCCAAAACAATTGTCGCTGTGGTGTGGAAGTGACAGGTCTCCAATTGACCAATGTGTGTGGCCTGACAAGGCGAATGGAGCAACCGTCTCATTGACTTGACAATCTCAAACGGCCAGTCCAGCCCACGACAGCACACCGCCAGATCCACAATGTGGATGGATCCCAAGCTAAACCACTTGTCCTCAACAAGGCCACCATCCATCCACGCCCACGGTCCAAGGCTACCTACCTATTGTTTATCTGATTGTTTGTTGTTGGAGACGGCTTTCCTGTCCCGTTGGAGTCCAAACCGCCAACATTCCTCATGTCGGACATCATTTGTTAGGGCGGCGAATCACTTGTCTTGTGGTACTTGTCTCAATCTTTACCCCTTTTTTCCCCTCCCGGCTCCCCTCAATATTGGGATCCGGCCGATGCGGGGCACACTTGACACACAGCACACACAAGTCATTGAGAACCCGCCGACCCGGAAACGGTCCCGGTCCCGGTCCCGGGCCTAATAACAAATGGCGGTGCTTCCACTGCCCGATCTCGGGACATGGCTGTTCCGTCGCGGTGACGCGGACCGCAAACGGGTCGCCGCCGAGAACCCCGTCACCATTGTCAAGCAGCTCGACGGCCACATCAAGACACTCAAACAAGCGAACCTGCCTCACTCACTCAAGGATCCCGAGAAGGACGCCCTGGTTGGCGCCATGCTGCTCATGGGCAAGAGCCTCCAAGACGCCCTCAACATGTTCATGGCCGAGGTCTTGCCGCATGACGAGTACCCCAAGGGATGGAACGAGGTGCTCTCGGGCACCCTCGGCGGCCTGCAGAGGGCCCTGGCCGACACACTCGTCACCCTGGAACGCCCTCATGCTGCCGAGGCCGGTCTCAGTATGAAGCAGCACCAGGAGTCGTTGAAGACCAGGACCCTCAGTCTGGAACTGGATGAGGCATCGCCACAGGTAGTCAAACCCGGACTCAACAGATCGGAATCAGCACCAGCCGGCACAACAACAACAACAACAACAGCAACACAAGGAGAAGGGGAGATCTCACCCGACTTCCCGCCCCTCGGCCCTCCCTTGCCTCTCCGCCTCGCCCCCGTCCCCGAACGCTTCGAGCCCGCCTATGAATACCGCGACCTGGCCGCCGAGAACCCGGGTGTCAGCATGGCCGTCATCCAGGAACTACGTGCCGAAATGCGCGTCAACGCCGCCATCCAGCTCGCCATTGAATCACTCGAGTTCACCGAAGGCCAACTGCAGCTGATGAAGCAAGTGGACCGAGCCGCTGGCGGAGCCGACTTTGAGCCTGTCCAGCAGCACTTTTACGAAGGGTACGATCGCATCCTTCGCAGGGCCGTTGAGCTTGAGCGCCGTCATGCGAGCAGCGAGGTGCCTGTCCCTGTGTCGCAGCCACCACCCCGTGGTGACAACCAGAACCGGCCTCAGACCAGCCACACGCAAAATTCGGCCCAGCTTAGTCCCACCTCTTGGAGGCCGCGCCCGCCGAGGAGGATAAGTCTCGTTACTATCCCACCTCCCCATGAAGCAGAGGCTCATTCTCGCGGTGGTGGTGGTGGTGGTCAGAGACAGAGTAGCTATAACCAGCAAAAGCGGCCAGGGACGGCGCCGAATGGTGGTATGATGCACAGGAAGCGGAGCATCATGTTTAATGATGATGGGGACTTTTCCGATTACGCGTCGACGCTGGGCAATTCGCGGTCATATTCGAATCTGAGGTCGAGCCAGGGGTCGCATGGATCAAGGGGTTCGATGGAGGCCATGACTATGAGTCCAACCGGTCAGGCGTTTGATCAAAGGGCGAGGGCGAATGTGCGGAGGAGTACGGTGCATGGGATGGTGGGGATGGGGATCCGGGAGGAGGGTATGTCTCATTACCTTGAACACGGTCTTTTGTTGAAGTGGTTTAAGGTGTACTGATATGAACGAACAACAGATGAACGACCACAACATTCCCGAGGTCTCTCACAGTCCCAACAGCTAGACCCACCCACCCTCCGTCGTCGCCTCTCTCTAGCCGACGAACTCGCCATGGCCAGCAACACCGACAGTGACTCCTCCAACTACGGCGACGAAGACAACGACGACTACTACCAGGAAGACGGCGACGGAGGTGGCGGCGGTGAAGAAGAAGACGAAGAGTTCGGCGAGTTCGGCGAAGTAGGCGAAGCAAGCGTCATCCAATCCGAGCTCGGCAGCGGAAGTGATCGGGGCCTAGCCAGTCCTCGAACCCCTGGATCAGCAGTAGGTCCAGGTCCAGGTGGCTTTGTACGTGGCATGGTACACGGTGGGCTCATGGCGGCGGCGGGGGGGAACAACAACAACAACAACAACAATATGATGAACTTGAACGACTCGATACACTCGCGTGGCTCGTCACTCGATTCGATGCCCATGAGCGAAGGGTTGGTGGGACAAATACCGCCGAGTGAATACGGGAGTCAGTTTGACGAGGGGAGTACGTACGGTGGTCGGGGTTATGGGGGAGGGTACGGGGCCACACACAGCAGACAGGTATCGAGTGTGAATATCGACGATAGGATATCGTATGTGCCTTCTACGTGGGGGAATGTGTCTGCTGTGGAAGAAGGAATGGAAGAAGAAGAAGAAGGACAACAACAGCAACAATATGAACAAGAAGGGGAGGAAGAAAACGAAGAACTGAGAAGCCTAGGAGGGCGGCGTCTATCAGGATACTTCCCTGGTGCGGGCCGGTACGACGGGGAGTACGATGACGATAGGGACTACGGCGATGAGGAGGAGCATGATGACATGGATGAACAAGAAGAAGAAGAAGAAGGGCATAGGTACGCGGACGAAGATACAGGAATGGATGGGGGAGGAGATGATCATGATCGCAGTGAAGCGTCGGCGGATGAGAACGAAGAGTTGACGGAGATTATCGAGCAGTTGAGGCCGTACATGATGCTGGGTGGTGCAGCGAGCAGCAATACGGGGAGGGTCTCTGCGTGAGATTGGTACATCTGGCTGCCGCATAGCATCATTCAGGCACAGGGAGGAGCAAGCGTGCATGACATGGACAGTAGCATGCCCGGCTGCATTGAAATCAACAGCCGACTTCTCCGTTTAGCCTGAATCAACAAAATCAATAAGTGGTGGAGTGGTGGACAATGGAAAAAAAAAAAAAAAAACGACAAAACCTGCAGACCTGCGTACAACCAAGGACTTGGACTTGGGATCAAGAAGGGATTTTTCTTTTGTTTAAAAGGTCCGTAGTTAACCCCCCCCCCCCAACCTACAACTTTAGCATATTACAAACATAGGTACAGGTAGTACAGTAATGTGTACGGATAGCATACCTACCTCTACTATAGGTAGTATATTGGGTACCTAGGTTGACAGGTAACACGGGATAGGTAGCGGCGTGGCGTGGGCCTACATGTTAAGTCTACCTACCTACACTATCCCCAAAACGTGGATGATCAAAATACGTTACCTCTATTGTTGCAAAAACACATCTGCGTGTACTGGTAACCCTGTAATTAGCGATCAGAGGTATAACGATATTCTGTCTATAACGTTCAGATTATGGGGAACAGTGCAGATTTGTATGGCGATAATATAGTAATAATGATCAACCTCTAATTTACGATTTAGATCAAGATTATTGCTGACTAATATACTAAAATCGTTATTTTTATAACCGTCTAATAGCTCCCGCTAGTTCCCAACACCTGCTAATAGGAGTATTAACCCCTTAATAGCCGATATATTTCACCCTCTGGAAGCTAATATTAGCTAATATATACCGCCTAACCGTTTCGTCCCTCTTATTAACTTACTCAAATTACTATATTTTAAAGTTATTTATTTACTCTCACAATTAAAAACGAACCCTCTTTTACGTCAAATCTCGAAATTAATACTATACTTACTTAAAGAAACCACCGTCGTTACCCCATCAACGAGCTTTAACGTTAGAAGATTCGTACGTTTATTTACAATAATCTTAAGTATACCTAATGTAAAGTTATTATATAGGCTATTAAAGAATTAGGCCACCCTATTAGTTAATCTACTATATCCGAATCCTTAAAGCCTAAATTCGCTTATTTAGATAAGAAGGTATTTATAAGGGGCGTTACTAGTATTTTTAAAATTTATTTAACGGACTTCCCTATCCTTAAAAAGGCCTTATTCGAATAGGTTATTTGAATAGAGAATAACTAATTTCCTATTTCTAGTAATATAATTAAAGAAGCGGCTAAATTTCTATAGTTTAAAATACTTAACTTCCGGCTCTTTACCGTACCCTCTTTCTCCAACGGCTAGTTCGACGGATTTAAATGCCGCTATCACATTAAGAAGTATAAATAGTCTAGTAAAGGTAGATCGGCTAATATCGCGGGGTCTTAAGAGAGGATTGAGGAGATTAAGAAATTAATTAAATAGTATAGTCCTAATAATACGTATAATACTAACGAGACTGCTCTCTTTTAGTTAATAACTCCCGATGTTATACTGGCTACCAAATTATAAATAGGATTAAAAAAAAAGAAGGAGAGAATTACTATACTCCCCTGTATTAATATAACGGGCACACACAAGCTCGATCTATAGGTTCTAGGCAATGCAAAGAACCCTCGTTTATTCGGCAAAGATAGAAGGTTTATTAATAATCTCCTTGTTGTGTGGCGGAGTAATAAGAAGGTATGGATGATTGCCCTAATATTTATAGAGTTTCTATAATGGTTCGATCGTTAAATGGCTGGCTATTGGGTATTATTACTAGTTAATAGAGTCTCTATTTATTACTCTACTTTAAAGTAATTGAAAGAGTAGTATAGTAATTAACTTTTAATTAATACTACTATTAAAATACTACTAGTTAATACTACTTCTATTTACCAACCTATAAATTAAAGTATTATTAATAGTTTAAAGGTTTACTACTATTATACTTAGTTATAATATTTAGTATACTATACCTTCAATAGGGAAAATACTATTAAAAAGACTATAGTACTATAAATAATCTATTAGGTTATTAATACGTAGAAGTATAAGGTTAAGGAAGAGACTATTAATAATTGTTTTAAAAAATTATAATTATTAGGATTAGTATATAATCTAGAACGATGACCTTTTGATTAGGATGAAGCTATCTATATTTAGAAATTAATAGAGGAGTTCGCTAGAATTAGGCGGATTAAAAATATAATAAATATTATTAATTTTATTAATTTTCTAAAGGAGTAAATTCGAGAAGACCCCTAAAATATCCTTTAGTATATTGTTGAAACCTTCTTAGAAGTTTAAAAACTAAATGATGGCGATAATAATGAGGATGTTGAAATAGTAGAAATCTCTATTGTAGAGGTATTGAAAGCTATTATAATTATTATTTAGTATAAAGAATAATAAGAATAGGTAGATATAGTTTATTTGGCGATATTTAGAAGGCGCTAGAAACTATTAGTCTGGGATTAGTTGAGCGCCCGGGACGAGAAACGGCAATCAACCATCGATTCGTACTTCACAAACAGCTCTACAGCGAAATCACTATAGTAAACAGTTATTCAATACAAGCACGTTATTCTCCAGCCTTTTCAACCCCCCTGTCAATAGAATTGTGGGCTCAAAATACCCCAACCTTACATTAGCGATATCCTGGCCATAACGATCAATCCACCAGAAACCGCCCTGATCGCTAATTACAGGGTTACCAGTATTTCATAGGCAGAGAATTAGTGCAGGTATGGTTGACGGAGACACGTTTTCGAAGTAGGTAGGAGAGAAATGAAGTAGAGGAGTACTATTTAGGGGAGCACGACTTATCCTCTACCTCCAGTAGCTGGGGGCTCTTATAAAAATGCTATCATGTCATGTTATGTCATCAGATATAGACTTATACCTGTACCTCAGTATTATTGTTCACGCCGAATTTCTACTCGTAGAGATATTCATCCTCCTCACATTCACTCAATCACGATCTTGTGCTATATGTTGCCATCTCGAGTTAGCTAGGTAGGTACCTAGGAATTTCCCGCTGCTTCATTTTCTTTATCCCCTGCCTTGAGGTACCTACCTCTAGGTAGGTAGGTCGGTAGTTTATCACTAGAACAAAAGAAAATCATCCTCCAATCCTTAATTCATTCGGGGTACCTTATTCCATCCCCATTTAATCATACCTGTCTGTACCTAGGTAATCCTCAAACCATCTCCCTCTCTTTAGCCTCCCTCGCCTCCTGCCTACTACTCGTCTCCTGCCTGCTCGTCGCCACACAAGTCGTAATAGTCGTCACCTTCTTCCCATGTCCCAATCCCATTCCCATTCCCATCCCCCTCTCCGGCAATCCCCTCGCCATCCCCACTGGGCCTCCCCGTCCCTGTCCCTGCCCCTGCCCCGACTCATGATAAGGAAACTCATCCTGCCAGACCAATTTCCTCTCGCTCCCCGCTGGACTGATCCTCCCCGGGATATCTTCCTCCGACCCTGTTGCGTTCATTTGTAAAGGCATGTTGCTCCCATGATGATGACCACCACCACCGCCCTCGCCCAACACCTCACTAATCGGCACACTCTTCATCTCAATCTCGTGCTCCACCTGGATCTCACCCGGTCGACAACGGTGATTGCTGCCAGAGCGCATGGCACTACCGCCGATACTATGGGCTGATCTGTTATGCGTTCGTTTACCTGATTGCTCGGATGATTTGCCGTCTCCGTGTCCATGTCCATATTTTCCGCCGTGGCCGCCGCCGCCGCCCAACTTGGATCTTTTGGATGCGTCATAAGCGCCTTTTGTCTTGGCGTACAGATCGGAAAGAAGCATCTTGGGGAAGACTTTGATGACGAGGGGCTTAAGTGCCGGAGCGGAGGCGCACATGATGGCGATGTTGACTTCGATGCAGGACCAGATGGCTATGGAGACGCCCATGACTGTGTTTTTCATTTTGTCAGCACCTGTACCTAACAGACAAAGCGGAAGAGTTGACGAGACTCGGAAGAACACGAAGGGAAAGACAGATTGAAACATACCAGACTGTTCCTCCGCCGGCGCCGCCCCAATCTGCTGCAGCGACGACAGTCGCACGATACTCATGACACTCGCAAACATGCCCATGCCAAACAGACTCGTCAGCACCAACTTTTGTTTCTTGGGGATCTGCAGCTTCCACAGCAGCGGAATGGGGATGATCGCCAACACCAAGTCCGACGCAATGTTGATTCCCGCATTGGCAAACGTGATGATGTTCTTGTCCATGCACGCCCCCTTGGGAGCCCGTTCGCGCCGGACCATCTCCCACCAGAGATTGATGGGCCAGCAGGTGAAGAAAGTGCCGAAAACGGTCCAGAGCCCGTAGATGACGACGAGAACGAAATAGATCTTGAAGAACTTTTGCATCCGTGGAGTGCGGAAGACACGGTAGCATTGGACTGTGATGGACATCTTGACGAACATGAGGGCGAGAGAGTAGATCCAGATGGTTGCCCATAGGGCCTGGTATTATTGGGCAGTCATGTCAGTCAGGGGCTGGGGTCTATGTCGATGCAGGTTTGGTTTGGTTGAACTGGGGGGACTCACGTATAAAAACCCAACAACCTCATCTTCACTCATCAGATGCCTTCCTAGTCCAGCTTTGATCTCTGCAAAAAGTCATTCATTGTCAGTCTGCATGTCGTCGTCGCGGGGGGAGATATGAGAGAAAAGAACCGAACTTACGCATCATTACAACAGTAAGATAGGCGATCGACGATATCTGTCAACCAGGGTAGGTAAATATTAACCCATGTCATGTCCATTGAAGTTGCCTTTCGATCTCCTCTCCATCCAGCAGTGATCGACAGACACCCAACAGGGCAAGCAACCAGGGGGAATAGCTTCATCCCCGTCACCGCCCCCCCATTGTTATTCGCTGCCGTTGTAAACCTGTGGCATCCATCTCATCCATGTTGGCAAACATCATCACCACCACCAACCCCACGTGGTACATGTAAAGAGCGGCGTAAACGCGGCCCGGTCCGCGGTCCGTTTCATTGTTTGTTCTCTTCCAGCTCCAGCTAGATGGTTCCCCAACAACAACAAGAACAACCACAACACCATCCATCGTAAACCTCAGGACCCAAAAAAAGAAATAATAACAAAGAAAAGAAAACTCACCATCGACCCAACAATATAATAATCATCCGACCCAACATTCTGAACCAAGACCACCCTCGTAAACAGTCGGAAACACACAGTAATAAAGGCCAGTGTGGTGAATATGATGTCCACCACCACCACCGCCACGGCCCGGTCGGCGATCCGCATTTTTGACGACGTCGGCAGGGTGCTATCGCCTGGATAGCATTCTCCGCTTCTTTTGCCTTTGTCGTCAGGTATTATCTCTCTCGTTATCTTGATTCGGTGCTTGCTGGTCGTAGTAGTTAGGTATTGTCGTTTCCGATGTATCTATGTGTGCTCACACCCTTCAAGGGAAGAGACGGGTAAGGAATTCGGTGGTGTATGCCTGATGTCGACGGGAAGGAGATATTTCGGATGAGTAAGCTGATGTTTGCGTGGGTGGGTGGTTGATTATACACGTTGATGTTGCCCAGATGGGTGGAAATCGACAGTGTCGCAGAAGTCTCGAGGAAGGAAAGTTTCGGCAAGCACACAAAAAAGATGGGAATCTCTCTCCCACGGACGGCACGTCTCCAGAGTGCCGGGACTTATACCAGGGCTCCGTCTAATTATCCGAACTTGTATATTTCTTCTCTCCCTCTTTAAGTGCTGTGTGTGTCTGCTTCAACTTGGCGTGTTATCGAGGGCAGCACAAACGCAGGAAGGGGTAGTATTCCGTCACGGTAGTAGTCGTTTGAAGTGTGGTGTTGGCTCGTGGGCTTTGACAACTATTCGACCATTTGGGATCTGGAGATCAGGTCACGCACAACACATGGTGGACCTAGGAGACTCCTCGTGCTATTTTGGATGGGCAAAATGGAAAAGAGTAGTTGGAGACGGGCAGATCTTGGCCATCCGCACAGATGCAAGACTGGCAACTAGGCCGAGGGTGGGAAGTAGTCAGGCTTGAGCTAGTTGAAGGAAAGAGAGGAAGGTGACGGTTGTTCGGCACGCAGAACGGAGGATTTACAAAGCGTCCGAGCCAAATTCTTGGAGTCCATGGATCGACCAGACACCTTGCGTATGTCGAGTACACCGAGCTTAGATCTTTATGACTGACTTGATACATCTATACAACGTCCCACGCGCTATTCCCACACGAAGCCCTCTTCGATGATGGTTGTGGCTTGTCTAAGCCCTCAAGGTAAGGGTCGGCAGGGATGGACCGAATAGGGTCCATGGGGGGCCAATGTCTTGGGACAGTTGGTGTGCCCATCAAGGTTGCAGGTATCCAAGGAGGAAGGAATCAGAAACATGCAGTGTCTTGGGACGGGCTTGGGTTGAGGGCTTGGGGCGCCGAGTTACGTACATAGTCCCGGCCATCATGCCCGATTTACCCTTCGCCAATCAGATCCTTGAGGGCTCTGTTTCGATAGTAGACTGCTGCGTGTCTGGGCGCGATGAACCAGATTGGTCTTTGCAGGGAGGATGGTTTGAGGCAAGGGATGATAGTCTTATTTCCAGCTCCAGCACAACGGATATGATACATTTTTTTGGTCCGGCAAACTATTGCGTGCGTGCAGAGCACGAAGACATTACTTGTTTGGGAAATGGGAGTCCAAGCGAGGATGCATTGTCAGGTCTTGTCAGGGGCAATAAGGATGGGTTCGGAGTAAGAGCAAATGGACCATGTGGAGATAGACAATACACGTGGGTTCCATTGCGAGTCTGTTCCTGGATTTCACCATGTGCTAAGACCCTTGGTGCTTGCGAGAGCCAACGATCTTCGCTGTCACTTGACGTGAAGAAGCAAGATCCATTGTGGGGAGAGGAAGGTACCTTAAGAGATGGGGTGAAGATGGCTAGTATGGACCATTGTTTCGGAATGAGTGGTAACAAGAAATGGGCGAGGACCACGAAGCCTGAGAATCGGTTGAGCTCACGCAGAGAGAACTCCAGAAAGAATGCTAGGATCCTTGCTTAGCAAGCTTCATGATCCTTTCGACGCACGTGTTTCGCCTGCCCTTGTAGTTCTCGTTCTCCTCAGCTGAAAGCAAGGTAAAAATTGCTTTGACGGCCGAGATGGCCAAGCTCAAGGTGAGCTCATCAGAAGCAATTCTTCAGCGGGATCTCGATGGACAATGGAGAGGCCAGGCCTCTGGAACCTAAAGAGAAGCAAGGCCATTCATTCATCGTCAACCCATCACCAACGTGGTTTCGATTAAGTCTCAACTTTGCCGTCATATCCGAACGACCTATCGATAGTGAGAAATGATGCGCAACGTCGAGGCTCTGGTATTGACGCTTGAACAGGAAAGTGACTCGCAAGTGAGGAGGACGGCCGAGGTAGCCAATTAGAGAAAGAAGCATGCCCGAATCGAGTACGCCATGGATACCCTATGTGATTGAGCACAGGCATCGTTGCCAACGATAGATCCAGGCCATGGCTGATCTTCTGGGGTATGTTTGGGAATATTGAACATATGATCGACTAGTCGAGTGGTTGGTGTTGGTGGTCATCAAGAGTCCCTGTCTCGCTCAGGCCCTCGCTCCGATCACGTTGATCATGGAAGGGAAAGGGTGCCTGTCCCTGATGAGGCGGGGGAGGGGGAGAAAAAGAAAAGTGACAGCTAGAGTCGACGTTCGCTTCAAGGGAACCTTGATAGCTTTGCGGCCACCGTCCCGACAAGATGGAAATCCACTTTCAATGTGGTGAATGGTGACTGCCGTAACGTGTGACACCATTGACGGCACTCGCAAGAAGACGCGGCGTTGTGAATGCCGAGGAAGGTGTGAAAGCGCCGCCGTGTATTCCCTTAGTTCTGTTTTGTTAGTGTCCGTGTCCGTCCGTGCAGTGCAAATCACAGGATGCACTAACAATTCAACATGTTGGCTGACAACCAACGAACCAGATGACTTCCACCTCGGCCCGCTCCATGGTGCGAAAGCTCTCGTTTCAAGGATCGAAAAAATCTTTTTAGTCTTGGTCCTAGAAATGTACCTGCCTTTTATTGCCGTAGCAATCTTGGCTCAACGAATGTGCAAGATGAGGAAGTGTCCCCGAAAGACAAGAAGTTAGAAATCCGGTAGCGAACATACGGCGTTACAGTCTGTATCAATGTACCGTCATTACATTACGTCTCGGTAACGAACCGTACCACTCGGTACCACCCTTTCTTTCAACAACCAGCCAACCACGTCCCATACCTCTACACTATGTACGAGACGGCATGCCCTTCCGTTATTCACTACAAGGTATGGGCGACCCTGTAATCCCACCCACACTGGGAAAGTGACCCTCGAGGTAGGGATCCGTCGGCGTCTAGACTTAGACGACGAGCCATCAGAACTCTATCGCCATGCTCGCTTCCTCTCCCGCTTCCGTGTTCTTTACCTACCCTTCCTTTTGCGTCCTTGCCAATGCGTCTCGCTAAAGCATGACAACTTACGATTTCGCGGATAGCGAATGCAAGAGAAAAGGATAAACGCGGCAGAGGATGTAACGCAAGGGACATACGCGAGGTGGAGAAGGGTATTGTGAAAAAGAGGAAGCTGGAAAATATTTGACGCCACCATCTACATGTGTGCGCTATCGAGCCTCTCTTTCTTAAAAATAATAAGGTCTGTTTGGTCCGTGACGTTGTCGGGAACGGGAGTTTAGGGATCAATGGAGGAGCAGCCACGACTATCGTATGAAGAGAACGTTCTTCGTTTTGATGATCCATTTTCCAGAGTAAGACCGATGCTGAATGCTGGAAGTCTTGCCCTGATTCTCATGCGTCCCGACCGGGACTATATCAAGTCTCAGACGGCCAGCTATCGTTCCATTATCCTTCTCAATGGCCCGTCAATGGACTCCAGGCAGCTCAACCAGGGCAACCCCATCGTTCGACAGAGCATTGCCTCGCCCTACCTACAAAAAAAGAAAAGAGATTCACATTAGGATCCGACAGACTGGTGAGCTAGGTAGATAGAGAACCTGTATGCGCTGGAAAAGAAGAAAAAGGAAAGTGAAAGAAAAAGATCAGAAATAAGAAAAAGAGAAAAGTAAAAAGAGAGAAAGAAAAAGAAAAAAAAAAAGAAAAAAAGAAGAGAAAAAAGAATAAGAAACGACAAAGCCCGATAAGGCCTCTCGCTACCTCTTAACAGGGCCTTGCCACGTGGATTTTTTAAGCTGAGACTTGTGACAGTAGTAGGTAGGTTTGTAAGGCCTTCCTATTTTTTTTGTTTTTTTTTTCATTTCCATTCCCTCCCATGGCATTGTTCCAACTGAACACAGAGGTGGCGAGAAATGGAACAAGCCGATGCACGAGAAGTAGAAACCAAGGCATGCCATTCAGATCTTTCCATTTTGACAGTACCTGGGAGAAATTTGGTGCAATGGACGGGAGTATTGTATAGAAACAACCCACATGAGTTGAGCGGACTAAACGATACAAGTCCTGAACCAACGTTGATATTGATCTATGTCTATAGTATCATATTAAGAAAGGTCGTATATAAAGAAAAATAAGAAAGAAATCATCGCATGCGAAACAATTTTGCGTGGGCGTTTGAACGATCGACAAAAAGGGGTATCCCAAAGATCTAAAAGCTTTCTCGTCATGTCCACATGGCTTTTTTTGCACAAGCAACTGAAACACCAACTCATCCCCGTCACTCGTGATGTACGTACCTATGTAGGTACCCCTAGGCAGCATCCATGTCACCACCCCGTAAATCCTCCAATTCATGTTCATGACCTAGGCGTGGTGCGCCCTCTCCACATCAGAATACAACTCCTCCTCCTTCTCAATCGGATTATCAATCCGCATAGTAAACTCCTTCCCCTCCTCCTTCAAGAAACACGCCGCGATGGCCGCCACCGCCACAAAGCAGCTCGCCGCCGTCCACACCCTCCTGAAGCCCGTCGCAAACGTCTCTTTGAGCGCGTACACGCCCGCCTCGATAATCTGCGGCGTCACGCCCTCAATCTTGGGGATCAGCTCCTCATGGTGATCCGCCAGGGCACCAATCAACGGTCCAACCGACTGCGGCGGCAAGCCAAGGGGCAGCACGGCCTGAGCAATGTTATCCCCCAAGTGATTCAAGGCGCCATTGAGGAGGGCATTATAGATAGCCAGACCAACAGACCCGCCGAGCGAGCGGAGACCAATGACCAGCCCCGTGGCGATCGCGATGAGTTCAGGCGGGGTGGACAGTTGTGCAATGGTGACGAGAACGCAGAGGGACATGCCGAGGGCGGTACCGAGGAGGACGGGGTATCCCCAGACCTCGGTGTCGAAACCCACGCCCGAAGTGGCCATGCAAGCAAAGAAGGCGGTAAAGACGCAAAAGGAAGCGACCGTGATCCAACGCACGCGCTTGTAGTGGGCGCAGTACATGCCCGCGGCGGCGGCCGAGAAGATGGAGACAATGATGGCGACGGAGTAGCGGGTGGCGACGAGCAGGGCGTCCGTCTCGTAGAGGATGCCGACTTGGAAGGCAAAGTAGTTGTTGGCGCTGAAGAAGGCGAGACCCTCGCAGAAGAGGCAGACGAGCGCAATGGGGAAGTTGCGGCTCTTGAACAGGCCGTGGTGGAACATGCCGTCCTTTTTGAAAAAGGTCTCGTAGACGGCCAGGGCAATGATGAGAGCCATGCCGACGCCAAAGGTGGCGGACACGTGCGCGTTCGACCATGGGAACGGGTTCTCGGACCAGGAAAGGCCAATGCAGAAGAGGACAATGCCGGAGGTGAGGAGGAAGTAGCCGACCCAGTCGAGCTTGCCGAGCTTCTCGGAGAAGGAAAAGGATCGCTCCCGCTCGGTTTGAGGAGGGTTGTAGAAGACGAAGCACAGAACGGTGGCGAGGACGAAGAGACCGGTGCCGAGGTACCAGAACTTCCGGAAGCCCTCGGAGGGGACGTTGGAAGTACGGGAGAAAGCGCCGGAGCAAAGCAGGGCAGTGATACCACCGAGGCCGTTGGCGATGAGGTCAGCGGCTTGGCCCCATGAGCGGTAGCGGCGCGGGAGGACCTCGGAGGACACGGCGTGCAGAAGGGGCTGAGCGCCGTAGCTGATGGAAGTAATGGCAAAGCCGGCAATGACCATGTTCATCGAGGTGGCCCGGGCCACGATGATGGAGCCAACGGCACCAATAAAGGTAGAAAGAACCAAGAACCAGCGACGACCCCAATAGTCAGCTGCCTGGGAGAAGATGGGACTCAGCACGGCCGTGCCAATGGCAATTGACGACGAGAGCCATACTCCGTCAGCCGTGCTTCCATTACCGAGTGTGATGGCGATAGTGTTCGTTTGCTGTATTGAGACAGACTGAGGTCAGTGCACTGGAACTTGCATGACGAGATGTCTCAGGGCAAGGGAGATGGGGATCGGCACTTACAGCTCCACTCCCGACGACATTGTAGATCTGAACAAAGTAGATAACACAGATGGCAAAGACAGCCAAAAAGGTCTTTGCGTGAAGGTGCGGCCTAGGTTCGCTCCGTGAGGACGAGGTATCGGAAGCCGCAGTCTGTGATGATTGAGCCGTGCCCTTCTCCGGGTGCTGGTCACGCTGGGAAGCAGTGCCTGGGGAAGATCCAGCCTCCCTCGCCGTGTCTGCCATATTTTCCTTCTCGACTTGACTGTTTGTGCTGGATGGGATTATGTCGAGTGTCAGGAACAGTTGGATGAGTGTAACGGCAGTGGGAATTCTCAGACTCGTAGACAATGGAAGGTGGAAGAGGAAGTGAAGGTGTAAGGTGAAGAACACTTTCTTATCCGAGAGGTTGCATAAGAGACATAGACAGAAAAGGGAGAAGAGGAGTAAGTGTCTGACGTGAAGTACCAAGACGGAAGAACAGCCGGCAGATACGAAGATGCCGAAAGGGAGATGTATGTTCATATGAGTAGGTGTCCAAGACAAAAAGTTGCGTTTCTGCAAAGTCTGCCACCTGGTCCATACTCTGAAAGACCATGAATACTGAGGCCGGAGTCCACCCAACAAAAATCTGCCTATGTGTATTGCTCCTTACCAAGACTATGCGGCCACACAACGCTCCATGACATTGCCCAGCCCCTGTGGTAGTTTTGTTCTAGGCCTGAGCCGCGAGGCCAATAACAGCGGGGGAACAAGTTAATGCGTCTCTGATGAAGAACGGGGGATAGGAGACCCTGCCATAATATCGAAGAAATAGTAGTGCGCTTGAAGAAGATAATCTTGTCGAGTGTCCAGTCCGTACAAGGCCATCTGTCACCGGTGGTAACGCCAAAATTACCATAGTTACCGTTACATGACAGATGCGACAGTTACAGGCCTTCCCAAGCCGCTATTCGCGGACGCTAAAGTCCAACCCAGTCCACTAAGACGGACAGCAGGATACGGTGGGGTAAACAGGCGAAATTGCAAAGATGCGTGACGTTGGGGAAGACAAGGGGGTTGTAACGACAAGGACAATGGGCGGAGAGGACGGGGCATTTTGTTCGTTCCTCTGGAAAGCCGAGGGTCAGGAAGAGAACGGCTGGGACCCATGGGTGTGAGAGGTTTCAAGGGCCAGGGGCAACTATCAATGCGGAGAAGGAGGAGGGACAGCCTGGGAGAAGGACAGTGACACCATCGACATGTCAAGTGTCATCAGCTAGGGCCTAGCTTGATCTGGGCTAGGTGAGTGAACGCCGTAGCTGGCTGTCAGTTTACCTTGTCAGGCCAGGAATTGGAGGAAAAAGCAGAGACATTTGTTGGCCTTTCCTTTTGATGGCACGTCAGTTGGGCTCCTCGGTCTTTTGGGACAAGAAGACGAGACCCTTTTCCGGTGACAACCGCTTGCGAAGCTTGGTTCAACTCTGGGTATTTACCATTATCAAAGAGAAAGCCAAAAAGCGTACGATTTCCGAGGGTTGACGTTCCAGCGCTGTTCATACCGTGTCGAAATCCATGAGTTGTATGGGCAAGTGAAGAAATTCGCACTCACCAGTCATCTTTCTTTTCGGTGGTGACATTCTCAATATGTCGATGTCCCCCCACCACCCACATCAACGATGCCCTGGTCCCCTCCGGAACGGCTCGCTAGCGACCTTTCTCCGCTAGCGGCCAATCCTCCAGCGAATCCACTGATGCTCTTCCGGGGGTTTTGGGGTCTTGTGGGAGGGCTCGAGCACCGAGCACCCCTAGCAAGTTGACGTTACAGCCCAGCGGCATAAGTGGAAGCTCGGCCGGAGGGGTCAAAGCGCAACTGTCTCTCCCCTGTCTGTACCTAGGTAGGTACTTGATATCAATGTCTCTTGCCACATTCATCCCCTTGGTAACCAGTGATGTATCATCCTTTCCCCCCTCGCATTTGTTATAGGATTTTTTTCTTTTCTTTTTGCCCAATTCCAGCTGGAATGACGGGTGTTTTAGCCCCAGCATTGTTGAAGCTTGTCTGAACCCAGAAACGTCGAGTGACGACGCCATATCACGACGACTACGTATCGAGCATTAGATAGATAATGCGAAAAAGAGGCCCAAATAATGTAATAAGAAAGATATCGAGTGCTCTGCGGCGTCGGGCTAACATACGTACCTAGACAGACTGAAGTGATCCTGCCAATCAATGTCAACATGCTTGTGGTTCGCGATTCTCCCTTGGGTTCCATGTCTTGGCCTGGAAGGTGTGCTCCAACCAAACTTGACCCCTTGCTGTTGGCAAGAAGAAAAATATATGGGGATCAAGGGCCGAGATAGCGTAACTCTCCGAGGCAAGTCTCATACGATTCCATTGCTTCTTTCAGATGGTCAACGCAACGCAATCTTTGGTACCGCTGGACACATGTTGCAATGCAACAGTTGTTCCACGCCGGTGTCTTCTGTATGTTTCCTGGGTCCGTCCTTTCAATCTCCATTTCACTGGCTGATTTCTGCCGTGAGATAGCTGGTGATATCCTTTTGTTGTTTCTCAGTTACTCCGATTTCAAAGCCTCTGATTCCAGATCATGGCCAAAATGATAGACGCGGAATTACTCCGCTTTTTTAGTAGCCAGCTCGCGATTATACACAGTAATGGGCAAAGTTGATCGGCGGGTCTGTGCACCTTCCCCTCTCTTGCAAGATTCACTTGAATCCCTTGAAATGCAAGGAAATAGCTAGTCGGATTCCTTAGATGTCGAAGCAGGGGTGTCTACTGTAAGACATAGCTTGTCTCAACATTCCTGCCGAGGTATATATACAATCATATCACGGGTTGTATCGAAAGCTTCCGCCATACTGCGTTGCAGTGATAGTAGAGATTCCACTATCGGATGGTGAAGGCCGAGACAGTTCGTAATCCTTGGGTCAGGGGTCAAGACCTTGCATGGTACCGTCCGCGTGGTGTCTTTCTTCAGCCTTCTTATTGGGAACGCGCCGTGGGCCAGGAGGGCTGCTTTTGATCCTCTGTGTTACTGTATCTTCCTTACCAAGTTCTGTCTTGTGCTGATCCTCCTGTCAGTCTCATTGCATGAGTACTTTCTGAGCATCGGTTGCATTCCCATATTCGTTTCACTCTCATACTGCCATCATCATGCCTGCCCTCACTCAAGACCAGTCCCTCGATGTGATCATCGTTGGAGCGGGCATCGCGGGGCTGGCTGCCGGCATCTCGCTTCGCCGGGCGGGCCACAACGTTCGCATCTTTGAGCGATCAGAGCTCAACAATGAGGTTGGCGCCGCCATTCATGTGCCTCCAAATGCCAACCGTTCCCTCGTGGCATGGGGCTTGGATCCTGTGGAGAACAAGTTCGTTGCGTCCACCGGCATCGCCATTGGATCCGGAGCCACTCTTCAGCAGTTTGACTTGACCCCACTCGGTGACTGGGTTCCCAAGGTGTATGGCGGTCCTCTGTACTTTGCCCACCGAGTTGACTTGCATGAGTCCTTGAAGAAGCTGGCGATGGGCCCTGAGGGTCCGGGAAAGCCTGTCGAGTTGAGCTTGGGCGTGCAGGTTGTCGCTTATGTGGGTAATATCCAATATGTGGAGATGAAACCGCCGACCCCTTACTCTTCCGTCTACGCAAGATCGTCATGCCGGGCACGGTAGCGAGAAGTCACCGAGACACGGGCTGAGAAGTAGTAGCTTTATGCTAACCAATTGTCCCTTATCAGAACCCAGAGGAGCCATCCATCACCCTTAGTTCAGGCCTTGTGAAGAAGGCGGACCTTGTGGTTGCGGCAGATGGAGTCCATTCCATTGCTGTTGAGACCATCCTTGGATATGCCAACAAGCCAGAGCCTCAAGCGCTCTACAATGGATGTTACCGCTTCCTCATCCCGGCTGCTGACCTAGATGCCGACGAGGAGACTGCGTGGTGGAACAAGAATGGCGAGAGCGAGGGGCTTATGAGGATCTATACCGCTAGCAAGTTCGGCAATCGCTTCATCTCGTATCCATGCCGTGGTGGTGAGGTCTGGAACTGTGTTGGCATGTTCCACGATGACGAGTTGGAAGGCGCCACCAAGGAGGATTGGCAGACACCTGTCGATAAATCCCACTTGCTCAAGTCCTTTGCCGACTTCCATCCCTCCCTCCAGGCCGTACTAAAGTATGTCATCACCCTCTCTTGCCTCTGATGTTGTATTGCTGATGTGGTCTCCTGTGGTGCAGTAAAGCGAGCGAAGTGAAGCGCTGGCCTCTTCTCTATCGTGGGCCCGTGCCCACCTGGACCAAAGGAAAGATGGTCATCATCGGAGACGCGGCCCATCCCATGTTGCCGCACCAAGGCCAAGGAGGCGCACAGGGTATTGAAGACGGTATCGCCCTTGGCATCTCGTTAAGTGGTGCCACATCTGAGGATATCCAGGAGAGGCTGGCCATCTTTGAGAAGGCCAGGAGACACAGGGCAAGCGCTATTCAGGTGATGAGCAACGCCGGAGTGGACCAAGCTGAAAGAGTGGCTAGAGAGGTGGCACAATACGTTAGCGTTCCTCTGGGTATGTTCACGTTGCAAGATATGGTACCTTGAAGATAGGATGCTGACGTTGAGTCCACCACACAGATTCCCAGGCCAAGTTCGCCGAGTACAATTGGGGTCATGATGTTGTCGACACCACAATCCAGCTGCTTCGGGGGTCTGTGGATACCAAGTTTGAGCTTCCGGAAGGGTTCTTCAAGGGGAACCCTTTTTCGCCGCAGAATGCGCCCAAGTATGCGTAGGGGGCGGTCGCATATCACAGGATAGAGGGGTGGTCGGGGGTCTAGACATTTCGTGTAACAAAGCAACCCAGAACTTGTACATGGGCATTTTGAGAAGTTGACAGCATAACGATTGGATTCGTTTGAAAGAAGAAAACGGAAAGATGCCTGGTGACGTGATGTCGTGAATTGGATCAAGGGAAATGTTGCAAACGGGAAGCGGGCAACCGTCCGATGTCCATTCCCACATCTTTCAGCACCCAACCTTAACAATTATTGCTAAACAAGCTCTGCCCTGCCCTGCCACTGTGATCGCCCAAACGGCGGACGAACATATGGCGGGCCCGGGGGATGGTGGACCCACCGGGCGGTCTCCCGAACGTTTCGTTCCTTCCGTCAGGTCTTGGCGGGGCAAGCGGGGCAAGCGGACCGCCTGTGACACCGTCCAAACTGCCGGAGACTGCTGTCGATCCGGAACAAGACTGCCGGATTTCCTTCATCTTATTCCCGAAAGCAACCAGACAAAAACAATATTCATTCGATTTTTCAGAAAGAGGATTTCTTTCCATTACATCAGTGTCACCACCATCCTGTATGCGCCCCGCATTGCGTCATTTTCGGCAGTACCTTTTTAAACCAACAGAGGCAATCTCACTGCGCCTGTCACCACCACTCAAGCCGTTCCGCGTAAACAGCAACCACCACCAAGTCAGAAGAACCCTCTCAACAACAACCATCATCATGTCCGCCGCCACCCCGCTCAAGATCGGCTTCGTGCCCGAGCACTTCTCCACCCCCATCCACTTTGCCCAAAAGCACTATGGCCTCTCCGCCGAACTCATCCCCTTCCCCTCCGGCACCGGGCACATGATCACCTCCCTGCGCTCGGGCGAGATCGACGTCGCCGTCGGCCTGACCGAAGGCTGGGTCGCCGGACTCGGCAAGGACCCCTCCACCACCCAGGACGCCTCCTTCGGCACCGACGGCGGCTACCGTCTGGTCGGCACCTACGTCGAGACCCCTCTGTGCTGGGCCATTTCGACGGGCGCCGACCGTCCCGAGATCCAGTCGGTCGACTCGCTCAAGGGCGGCAAGATTGGTGTGTCGAGGATCGGATCGGGCAGTTACGTGATGGGGTACGTGCTGGCTGACCAGCGCGACTGGCTGGTGCCGACGACGGCGGTGGGCACGGACATGGAGACGGCTTCCCCGTTCAGCGACTTTGTGGTGCTCAACACGTTCAAGAACTTGCGGGACGCGGTCAATTCCGGGCAGGCGGATTTCTTCATGTGGGAGCACTTTACCAGCAAGAAGTACTATGACTCGGGCGAGATCAGACGCGTGGGCGAGATTTACACGCCCTGGAGCAGCTGGAAGATCGTCGCTTCTACCAAGCTGTTTGACGAGCAAAAGAAGCTGGACGAGCGTGTCGAGGGGGCCATGGAGAAGATTAACGAGGGTATCAAGCACTTTGAGGAGCACCAGGATGAGGCGGTCAAGTATATCAGCACGGAGCTGGATTACTCGGAGGAGGATGCGCGGGAGTGGTTGAAGACAGTCAAGTTTCCCAAGCAGGTACAGGGTGTTGATCAGGCGGTGATTGACAAGACTGTGAACATTTTGAGGAAGGCGGGTGTGTTGACGGAGGGACGGGGCATGAAGCCTGAGGAGATGATTGCCAAGACGAGGTAAAGGGCGATGATGATGATGGATGGACACTCGTTGGCTAGGTGGATTCGCTTCGTCAGCCAACCGACTCTCCCCGTAATGAATGATTAGGACATGATAGACAAAATGCGTTGCTTTTGGAATGAATGGTGCTCGGTGTCGTGGCCAAGGATTGTTTGTGTGAGATGGACTTTTTTTTAGCAGTTTTGACAACTACTATCATTGAAGTTGTTGATCATTCTTTAACTGACAGCTCTTATCATGTGGTTGTTGGCGCGATATCTGAGTGCATCCAAAGCGGAGTTAGCATGCATTAGCCCCATATAGGCTCACCTTCTCAGCATTACTATTATCGTATGGGCTAATGGTCTAGTGGTATGATTTCTGTTTTGCAATGCCTTTATTGAAAATACAGACGGTCCCGCGTTCAATCCGCGGTTAGTCCAGTCTTTTTCTTCTTTTTGCTTTGTGTTGTTTTGTTCCTCCCAAGTTGGCGATGCTGGGAGACGTTCGTTTTGCTTTTTTGTTTCTCAAGGGACCCCGGACTTTGATGTGCACCTTTGTCTTGATGATGAGAACCGCAAGTCCCAGGCAGACAATGTTGCAGGTAGCACAAGACGAATTGAATGGAGGGACGATAAACTAAAGTCATTGGAGGTGTTGTTCTAGACTTGCACTGTCATGTGCAGTTTCTTACCAAAGTGACACCTGGGTTGTGGTCGCGGTGAAGTTCGATCTGGTACAAGATATTGACAAAAGCAGGAAATCTAAATGGATTATCGTCCATGTATGGTGATAACCAAATGATAGCGAACAGTATCAACATTGAATCCGAAACGAACATGGACAAAGTAACGAGGGGACAGACCGTGAACGAGCGCATCACCACCAGCGTACAATCCGATACCGCGAACACGAACCGAAAAGACAAAAGAAGGACGAAAACAGTCGGAATGCGTCATTCCAGGTTCCGTCGTTGGTAGTATTCCGACAGCGAAAAAAGTACGTACCGTCACCTGGGAAGGAGCAAAGTGAACGCACTTGCTTACTTTGGTACTTTGCACGCACAAAGCAGGAAGGAATGCACTTGCTTGTTTTGCACCAGGCATCTGCAAACTTGAGTGCCAAACCACCAACATGAACCAAAAAAACCACCATTCACGCCCAATTCAACCGGAAAAAAAAGAAAGACATCAAGAACATCAAAAAGGAATCATTTAGACGTCAAGAACAAGCAAAAAAAACTAAAAAAATCAAACGTCGCCTGCATGATTCGAACATGCGCTCTCGAAAGAACTGCCTAGCATATTACGTAATAGCAGGGCAGCGCGTTAACCACTCCGCCAAAGCGACTAGTACTTGCTGTTGTTGAATTAGTGCGTCCAGGACTGGGTCTATATACCCACAGAACAAGATCCGACCCCTCACAGGTTGTGGTGGCATGTTCCACAGAGCTTCGAGGTGCAGGACGGTCTCACGTCAACGCAGGTTCCTATTATCTGGATGAATTCCGTAGAGTTTAAGTATGATGACATGGAGCGGCGGCTGTTCACTGAGCGGAGCGCTTGCTGTGGGTATTTTTAATTTGGAAGGCCTACACCATGCATGCCAAGTGTTACGCCGGTTACCGACTCACCGACGCACCGAACTTGAACGTCAACGTCTCTTGGTCTCCATACTGCACTGCAACTATTTACACTTGGGATCTTCCGCATAAGCACATAATCCACATCAACATTACAACACAAGTACCTGTGCACGTCTTGAACAATGAAAAATAGTAGAGACCTTTGCAGTCAAGCCCAGTACCGCTCGCTATAATTGAGAAAGGTCATTGCAAGACAGTGATACGGATTACAACAATTCGAAAACATCTCGACTAGATTCCTTTTGGGATATTTCAATCTAGGAACAAGCCTAGAAATCAAGCATAAAGGTGTAGTAGAGACGCTTGGACGCGTAGCAAGAGTATACCCAAGGGATATTACCTATCAAAGGCCTTGATAATTTTGTCCCAGGACGGACGAGCTGGCTGTGTCCGGTCTAATACCGGCTTGCTTGTAAAATCTACCCTTACGCAGTACATAGTCATACATACGATAAGAAACTAAAATGCCCGTAGGAGAGTTTCATATCGACTCCTGCCTTTATGCCCTTAGCCTTAGCTCTCGGCCCTCGCACCCCCCCCCCTTCTCGGGTTCAAGTGCTTACTGACTTTTTTTTTTCCCACCAAGATCCTAGCCTCCAAGTATTATAGACTTGGCGACATGGAAAGAAATACCTATAGACCATTATAAAGATGAAGAACTGATAGTCTTATTCAAACGGTCTAAAGACGGGTACCTAAGCCGTGTGATTACCTGCCACACACTCCAGACTCAGTCAGCGCGGGCGACATCAATGTCGGCGTCGTCACATAATGAACCAATCCCAGCCTTGTAGTTCGGTAAGCAAGTGTGAACCTCCCTTTTATCCTAGGTATAAGGAAATATAGAAGCACAAAGTTCGTGAAACGTGTAACCTGCATTCCGTAGTACACACCATCCGTACATCCATTTTGCACAACAAATTCACAACAGGGGGAATGCGGAATGAATTCAAGATGAATATTGTGTATTACCCTTTACCTTCATTTTTGTATCACCCAAAAAACTGCTCACCAACACCAGACCATCGCCTAGACCGAATCTCCAAGAAGCCAGCCAGCCAGCCGAGCCGAGTCGCCTCCAACAAACAACAACAACAACGACGAAACCTAAACTCCTATCCCACCCAACCAACCCAGTAATAATGCACATATGTATAGAATAATCTCCATTACCTGCCATCCCCCCACCATTACATATCCCCCATTTTCCCCAGTTTTCCTATCCCCAACCGGGCACTACCTCCTCGCCGCCGTACCAGGACTAGCAATCCCCACCCCCTCCCCCTCATTCTTCAACAAATTCCTCCTCGCCGCAACCTCATCATCATCTTCCTCATCACTCATCAACCCCTCCAACTCAAACTCGCCTGCATCACGCAACTGCTGCTGCTGAGTCTGGGTGTTGGTGGTAGCGCTAGTAACCCGTCCATTCAACCGGATCGCGCCGTTTCCATGCTGTGTAGAGGTATTCGTGTTGAGGCCATCGGCATTGGCACCGCGGTCGTACAGATGAATGAGGATGTTGACAAAGAGGAAAAGAATAAAGGCCATAGAATAAATGATGAGGACGTAAGCAACGTGGTCGATTCCCGAGCCGGCGACGAGAGCCATTTGCTCTTCGGTGGCGCTCATGAAGAGGAAGCCGGATGCGTAGAGGAGCTGTGCGCACATATTAGCATCTCGTCATTGATAAGAAGGGAGTGAAAGTGAAACCCACAAAAACAGGAACATATTGAAAACTGTGCGTCTCGTAGCCCTGGTCCGACACAGCCGGCTTATCCTTGAGAATAAACGAAATCTCAATAATCCGCGTCAGACCGGCGCCCATAAGACTATACCCAAACATCTTGTGCGTCATGGCGCTAATCATGAGTTCCTGCGGGTGCGCAGACATGGCCCAGCCCGTCATCAACAAGACAAACCCCGGGATAAAGTTTCGCTTGGGCGTGCCATCTCGGTTCTTGCTAAGCCAAATACCAGCCAGACCAGCAGCCCACCAGATCACGCCCATCGTAGTGTGCTGCCAATCGTTGCGGACCCAGGCCGTGCCCCAGCGGTGTTCGGTGAAAGTGTTGACGCAGCCCCAGGCGGCAATGACGGCGCTGTCGAAGAATTCCTGGCTACGGCCCGTGCGGCGCAACCACAGTTGACCGACCAAAAGGACAATAGTCAAGAGAACACCGTAGGCGATAAAGGCGCTGCCCATGATAAAGTGGGCCAGGCACTGGCCGAGGTGGTCGCCCTGGCAGAAGCCGAGAGCGGTGATTCCGCCAAACACCATCTGGACCCAGGCGGCGAGAGGGAAGGCCTTGCCGTTGATGCTGTGGAGGATGCGGAAGAAGGGGCGGATGCGGCCTTGGAAGCCCTTTTCGAGGTGCAGCTTGAGGTAGACGCCGAGGACGACCTGGGCGAGCATCATAAGAAACAGAATGTTGGCGAAGCTGGCGTGGACATTGTTGGAGACAAATTGTCTGCCCTTGTGCAGGTGGCCGAGTGCGTATCCGAGGAGGGCGAGGGCGGTCGCGAGGACTTGCAGAGGGACGTGCCAGCGGCTTTTGACGATCTGTTGGGTCTCCCCGTTAGCTTTTGTTCCGCTCCATTTCTAGGTATGTTCCTGGAATGCCTACCCCCAACACCATGCCCGTGGGAAACAGGATACCAAAGACAAACGTCTGCAGAAAAATGTGAAGCCATAGTGTCGTATCAAGTGGCTCGACCGAGATGGTCGCGCCCTCGGGGATCTGATCTTCGTGGTGGTCGTGACCGGACGCCATCGGGATGAATGCAGCGGCCAAAACTGCTGTAGCTGCCGTTGTTGTGATGGCGGAGGAGGGAACTCGAGGTACTTTGAACGACAACGACGACGAAGAAGAGCCACAGCCGCCGCCGCCGCCGTCGGCCGGGTTGTTGCCGAGAGTCATGGCGCGTGTTTCGGATTTAGTTGTGTGAAACGCTGTACCCTGCGCAACAGTGGCGTAATGGTCGGTCGGTCGCAAATCAGTAGTAGTTCGTTGGTCGAGATCGGACGAGGCAGTTCCGTGTTTCGTAACTCTTGGGATGGGACGACACGGTAGTATCGAGGTAGGTACTCTATACTGTACAGTAATGCGACAACAATGACAGCCCAGCCCAGCACAAGCTAATGTGCTGTTACTATCATACACGATTGCGCGACACGGACTGACGGAATCGACAACCGGTGGATGAGTTGTTGGAGCGGCGGGACGAAAGGGAGGCACGTCCGAAAGGGATGAAGAATCGATACTAAAAAACACCGAAAAGAATGAATTTCAATTAAATTGGCGGAGCTGCTGACGTGGGAACAACCGAGAACCTGAACCTGAACCATCACGGCGGCGCGGGCATGTCGGAACCAAGCTCCAGCGAACAAACAAAACCCGCTCAGGCCCGCCTTGGCTCTGCTACCTCTATGCCATCAGTGCCATGTCCGGATTGCTGGCATTGATGGCGGGCTGTCCCGGTTCGCATTCTGATTGGTTTCCGAGCATCAAACAACCTGCACAGAACGAACACGAGAACTTCCACTTGCACCACTTGGCTAGAGGTAGGTAGGTACTTGCTGTTACTGTTGTCAGTTGACCACTGCTGGATACACTAACAACTACACTCAGGCAGTGCCGCGTAGGCCTCATTTCCTGTGCCCACCTGCCGGGCTTCCGATTATTCGTGTAACACCCCCGATCCCTTCCTTCGTCATCAACAAATCCCCACATGCCCGATAAGGTTGAAGGCGTCATACATGATTGGCCAATTCTGGGACCTGAATCAACAATTTCTCTTGCTTCTGTTCATATTTATTTACCTTGGCGGCTTTCGGCATTTTTTAGTGGTGGTGTTGACATCAACTCTTCTTCTCATTTCTCTTCTTCTTCTTCTTCTTCTTCTTCTTTCCTTCAAGACAAAACATTAGGTATAATCATAACGATTTGAAAAAAAAAAAAAAAGAGTTGACATGAAACCAGCAAAACCCATGCTGACGAAAAGACAAAAAAAAACCCAAACTCCTTTTCCGGAACCGTACATGTACCCACGCGTGTATACCGTCATGTCCTCGTTTACTTAAAGAGCAGACAAACTCCTCGTCAACTCGCCCATGCCCACCTCGTTCGCACCGCTCATCTCCAATATACTCCTTCCACTCCTCCTGCTCATCCCGCTCCTCCTGCTCATTCTGCTCCTGTGACTCCTCACAGTCCTCTGCGACTTCTGCGTCCTCTCCCGCTTAAGCGCAGCTCCAGTTCCCTTCTCCAGATCCTCCCTATTGCCTCCCTCCTCAACCTCCTCTTCGACCTCCTCCTCATCCGACTCCGCCCCGAGGTCTTCCGCCGTCAAACCACCCAGTCGAGAGCAAGGACTTCTAGCCCTGATGGCATCTGCATAGATGATGAAGGCGAATGGCACCAGACACAAGACGGCGCTGACGATAGCCAGCACCGTGATGGCCCATGCGACTCCCAAGGCAGCGAGCATGTTATCGATTGCCAAGGGGATCAGGGCACCGGCGATGGACCGAGTGGTACCGCAAGCTGCGAGGGCCGAGGCGGCAAAGTTGAGCGGGGAGTAGGCGTCTGTGACGTACTGTTTCCTTTGTGTTAGCACAACAATCCTTTGCGGCCGAACTGAGAGAGAAAGGGGTGGAGGAAACCTACGTTGATCATGGCAGTAAAAATCATGTGGTAAGCAAACCCATACGGCACCGTCGCCACCAGGGGAACCGCCCAATGGATACTCTGTCTGCTGGTCCAGCCCAGCCAGAGCAGACTGATCACAAAGATCGGACCGCCGACGCAAGCGACGGGCAAACGCAGGTATTCGGACTTGCGATCGGCAGGACGGCGGGCCGCAAACTTGGGACCATACGAGTCGTACCAAATGATAACGAAGCAGGCAAGGATGGTGCCCAAGCCCATAGTCATAAAGGCCACGCCGGCGATGCCGGGCGAGAAGTGGTAGGTACCACTCCAGATGGTGCCGCCGATCTTGAGCATCATGTAAAAGACGGCATAGACAAAGGCCAGGTACATGCATGTCAAGCCGAGTAGGAGCTCGTTGCAGAGCAACAAAATGGGTCGCGAGAGCGTGATACTCTGTCGACAGTCCGTTGTCAGTCTTGACGTTTTCCAGCAAGTCAAATCACCAGGGGTGCTATGCAGGATAACTCACAAGCTGCCTCAAAACACCCATCTTCTCCCCATCGGCATTACCCCCGCCAGTAACCGGGGCAACATACCTCACCCCCTTTGCCTTGCCTTCAGCTTCCATCTGCTTGTTCAGCTTCTCGGCCCTAATCTTCAGCAGTTTCGGATGGAACGTCTCCGGCATCATGGCCACCGCGCAGAACGAGACTCCGGCAAGCATCAACGCGAACCTATTCTGCCCGTTAGCCGTCGTTCTCTCTCTCTCTCTCTCTCTCTCCCTCTTTCTCTCAGTCGCTCTCCATCTCCGTCTGGTAAACAGAAAAAGAAAAGACTCACCAAAAAACCCATCTCCACCCCTTACTCCTGCCCAAAAACCCGCCTAGAATCGGCGCCCCCAACGGCCCCACAAACGAACTCGCACTCCAAATCATCATCATCCTCCCCCGCATAACCTTATCCGCAAACACATCCGACACCACGCCTCCACCCACGCTGATAGGCGGCGCGCCCGCCGTGCCCGCAATCAGCCTCATCACCAAAAATAGCGCCCACGAGTTACTCAATGCGCATCCCAGTGTGGCCAAAAAGAAGATTGAGAAGCCCGTGATCAAAACGGGACGGCGGCCATACGTTTCCGACAAGGGGGCGCAGATGAGCGGACCAAAGATGAAGCCGATCAGGTAGACCGAGGTGGGGAGGATGGTTTGGGGACCGGGCGTGGGGAAGTTGAATTCGAGTGCAAGAAGCGGGCTGAGGTTGGAGCAGAGGGCGGAGCCGAAGCCCGAGTTGGTCGAGGCCAGAGTTGCGGCGAGGATGATGAGGAGTTTTTTGGCCTTTTTTTGTGTGGTCTTGTTGTTAGTGGTTGCCTTTGAGGAAGGGAGGGTTGGGAGGCAGGAACAACAGGCCAAAAGAAAGAGGCGAAAGGAAAAGGAGAAGGAGGAGGAGTAAGTACCTTGGACCAGTTATGGGGATTCTCAGGGTCATTGGGAGCAAAAGCGACAACGAGTGTCGTGGGTTCGCCGGTGGATTGTCCTTCAACCCCCCGGTCGAGAGCTGTTAGGCTGCTGTTGGCCGAGACTGGTGTTATTGTTTCCATGGGGTTCTTCTTCTCGAGTGGTGTCGGCGTTGGTGTTGATGTTGGGCTGGGATCGCTCATAACGATCTCGTCTGTGATATCCTTCTCCATGGTGTTGTTCATGGAGGGTAGCTAACGGGCTCGAAAGGACCCGTAGCTTTTGAGGGTGATGGTATGTCGAGGGCCGTTGTGGTGGAGAAAGGATATTCGAAAAAACCGAAAAGTCTCAGAGGGGTCGGTATCGTCAAGTCGTGTCGTCAAGGGAAGAAGGTCATGAACGTCACAAACATCAAACACGGAGTCACACCACACAGAAAGAAAAAAAGGTCACACCCGTGAAAGAAAACCAAAGAAGAAGGAAAAGGGCAGACGAAACACTCGATGAAACCTGAAGAACAAGCTCTCAGGAAAAAAAAAAAAAGTTTGTGGTGTACAACATGGCGTCTACCAACCGCCTCTTATATGACCCGTGACGTTGATGACTTATTCAACAATCCGACCACCCCCAACCCAAAAAGAAAATCCCAATAGGGGGAACGCATGAACAAAGTCTGCAGACGCCTTCTAGGCTAGGCTAGGCTCTAGCTACCACTCACCGCAAGCGGGTGTGGCGGGAGTCATCGAATCGAGACCAGGTTCACTATCAAGATTTTCAGGCACCGCTACTGCACAGAGGTTGTGTATGACAACCCCAGGAAAGGCTAGTGCAAGGACTGCAAGGCACCTCAACCCAGGCCGTTGAGAGTCTAGACGGGAGGCGAGGCGAGAAAGACCCCCCCAACTGCGGGCGGGACTGCACGGCAAGATTCTATGCCGAAGGAATTTTGGAAACGTTGAAGAAGAAGAAGAAGAAGAAAAAAAAATATTTGCGGTTGGGCACAAATCAATGCCCATGGGGTTGACCTTTTCCTGTCTGTCTCTCTGTGAATAGCCAAGGATGGGGACATTGTGCCCCAGGACTACTCCAGGAGCAACTAGCGCCCTCTTCTTGACCGTAGACGGTGACGAGCGGCCCGAACCCATGTCTAGAGATACCTGCTTCTCGGCCCTAGACCTGGGGACTACCCCGATGATTCTTCGCCAAGAACATGAAGGAGATGAACCAATGCGTGTTTCATCCTTCCTGTTGATGGTCAACTGGCCAAGTCAATAGGGTGTTACAGAAAAGCACAAACAAGACATAGTCTTGAGCTCTCACTGGGAGTTTGAGCAGACAGGATCGCCACGACAACTGTAAAGATCACCGCTTCGCTTGAAGCGTGATTACATAGGAAAAAGAGCGGAAGGAATAAGGAACTGCTCGCTCCAGGTGGGTGACGGGTGTTCGAGGCCCCAAGGGAACGCGTCGATTGATGTCTCACCGACAAAAAAAAGTTGTGTGTGGGTGAGAGAGAGAGTGGGACGTTGTTCATGATGCCCTCTACCTACCTAGGTAGGTACCTACCTCCCATGGGGGTTCACCGTCCCTTCCTTCTTCCGCTTGGATGACTCGCACGGCCAGACAGACGCTCGGGATTTTCCTACTCCGAGAATAGCATCATCACCAAGCAACTTTTAAACACGTAAGCCTCTAGACTAGCATTGATCGACGGGCAGATGATTACGTACGTACCTGAATATCTATCTCACTCAGCGCCAAACTGAGACTCGCGGCAATGACAATGACAATCTTTTGCGAATTTCCATCCAAACTAAAAACTCATTTTGCTTGGTTCGCAAAATGCCACAAGACAAGACATCAGCAGCACCCACATGGTACCTAGGCAGGCGCGTAGCGGTGAATCACAGTGGGGGGGGGGGGGGGGGGGAGGACCTTAGGCCCTTGAAAGATTTCGTAAACCTTGCGCTAGCTTCCTTCCCCCTGGCGAAAAAATGGAAATAGAAATAAAGAAAAGAAAAGAAAAGACCTGAATGGATGGAGGCACTAGTGTAGCTCACTCCTCCTCCCCCTAGACCACGGTCTAGAACTTTTTTTTTTTTTTTTTTTTCTCTCAGAGAACCAGGTTGAGCTTTACATACCCCCCTGGCTTTGTTAAAATTCGGGAGACACACCGATTGGACATGGAACCCACACAAAAGAACCACAAAATGGAATGAATTTGGTCATCTGCCCTCTCTAAAAAAAAAAAAAAAAAAAAAAAAAAAAAAAAAAAAAAAAAAAAAAAAAAAGAACTTGGTGACAACTTCGGTCCACATTGTCCCGGGGCACCACCACTGAACCACTCACGGGGGATCTGGACCTATGTATGCCGGTAATCGGAGGTGTTGACGGTGAGTACAAACATGGTAATGATTGTCGGGGTTTTTTTTTTTTTTTTTTTTTTTTTTTTTTTTTGAAAGACACGCGCGGGATTGATCAAGGTGGAAGGTGAGAAAGTTAACCTGGTCGTTCGGATTCCAAAGATAAGAAGGACCTGGGGTACCCCTCGTTGTCTTCAGCGATAAAAGACAGTCGGTCGGCGATCCATCACGGTTTTCATAGGGCTGGCTGGCTGGCTAGGGGTAGAATAGGTGAATAAGGGTGGGAGCCAGAGAAGGGGAAGTGACGGATTGAAAACTAAAGGTATTATGCCCAATCAGACATATGATTTAGTGAAGTATGATGCTTGGACGGGGTAAAATAAAAAAAAAGACAAAAAGATGAGAGTATCCAAAGAGTTGGGTGAGGTGGTTGATCCTGAAGAGGAGAAGAGAAGTGAAAGATTGCGCCAAAGGCCTGAAGTATCGGGGGACCTGGGTTTATAGGTAAGGTATGCACGTCCAGTCCCGTCGTGCCCAGCTGGGGACGGTCCCAACCAGCCATCGGCCTATCAATTTGGGAATGCCCTCAGCTCCTTCTGTGCCGTGGTGGCTTGCTTCTGCTTGCATGAGGTGTGCCTTCTGGCTACACAGCCTGCTTCAGTTCTTTCCTTTCATGTGGGGTAGAGAGTAGGTGTGGGGTGCAGGGCACATTCGGTTGCAGGCTGCGCGGCAGTCGGTCCCAATAACATCAAAAGGCAACGTGAATGTCCTTTACTCTTTTGGATGTCAACTTGCCCATGAGGCTCAAGATCAATGCCAAGTAAATCCATATGCCATCAGCTGGGAATATCCACGTTGTCCGGCACACAAAAGATCCCGTAAGGCTGGGCTGGGCAGGTTGATGGGTTAGGTGAGACATGATACCTCTCGATTATCAGACCACCTGAGGCTTCTGTGGCGTTTTTCCCTTGTCCTCCGTCTATCCCCTGACTTATCGCACCGTGTGTGATTGGAGCAAATGTCCCTTCCGGCAAAAAAACCACAAGATCAGTTTGGTATATGGTTTATTCTGGTATGGCCGGGTAATATGCAAAAGATGACACCAATGAAGAGTTTTTAAACATGTAAACAGAAGGGGTATGAAAAGCAACGCGCAGAACCCCCCCCCCCCCTCCCCCCCCAAAAAAAAGACAAAATAAACCAGCGCCGTCATCAAATCTCTCAGACACACCTATCCTATCCTATGCCCACTATTTCCAACGCCAGCCAAAAAACAGGATTCCCTCTTCTCACAACAAACAGTTATGCAGAGGGAATTCAAAAAAGCGGGGGTATCATCAGTTCATGATCCGTAATCGGAGAAAATGAATGCTTGATGCCATATTCGCCATATCATCAGTGGCTTTAACGAGCACCCTTAAGGATCTCACGAGGTCCACTGCGCCACCCTCCCCCACGTCCGCACTGCCGTGGTCGCCATAACACCCACCCAGCCCAACACGGAGAAGATCTTTAAGAACTCGAGCGGATGTCTGGCGCGTACCTCCGTCTCCAAATGGCCCTCGTGACCTCCCTCCTTGGTTGCCGGACTAGGCGGGAAGCGACCGGTAGTGAGATACTGCTCCATCAGCGCATCCTTTTCGTACCAGCGCTCGCGCAGCCACACGTCGAATTCCTCTTGGTTTTCGAGCGGGATGTCGTCTACTGCGAATCGGCGCCAGTAAAAGTTGACAGATTTGGGAGGCTGGCCGCGCAGGTAGGTAGAGGAGAGGGTAAAGAATTGGTCGCCGTACATGCCGCGGCTGGTAAGCAGGCAGAGTTAGTGAGAATTAGGGAAAAAAAAAGAAAAAAAAAAAAAGGAAAGAAGAAAACTTACGGAACGCCTTCATAGGCAACGGTGCAGTCATAGACATAGTCTACCGTGCCCTTCAACTCCTTTAGACAAAAGTACATTCCAGTACTGCGCGGCAGGAGAACGTGCTCCGTGTCCTTGATTCCCATCTTATCCGCCCACTTCTTGGACTTGTCCCTTCCGTTTTGCGTGCAGTTGGTTCCCTCGGGGAACAACAGGAGCCACATGGGGTTGAGATACTGTTTCCCGTCATGCGTATGTTTGGTCTTTAGCTTTCCCAGTCTGTATGCCAGTCGCTGCTGATCGACCGACATCTTGCGCGCCATGAAGATGAACCCATAGAACATCATGCCTTGGCCCACAATGGGGAGGTACTTGAGCGACTCTTTAAGGATGATGTAGAGGTAGCCGTGCATGCGGGGCGCGTTGGCGTAGCCTACCCACCAGAGGTAGAGCCAGTCGGTGTATATCTGGTGGTTGGCGATCATGACCATGCGTTCGGGAAAGTTGAATTCGACACGGCCGTCGGGGGTCTTTTTGATCTGGCCGGCGACGGAGCCATCGCCGCTGATGCGAATGGTCGTGGGACCCCACCACTGCGTCATAGTCGTGATGGTTAGGCCAAAGGACTCTTTCGTAAGGGCCATGTAGGTGTAGTAGAGGTCGCGATTGATCCAATACAGTGGTGCGCCGAGGAACTGAGTCGCGACGATGCTGCATTACATGTCTGTCAGTCAATGAATGTCCATCCACGGTAGCCCGTCACGGGGGACATACCCAACAGAACATGCTGTGAAGAAGATGGCCAGCGAAACACCCCTAAGAATCTGAATCAAGCGGTTATGCTTCTCCTTGCCCGATGGATGCGCATTCTGGACTGTTTTTGGCGCATCATCATTTGGTTGTACGAGCAGTCCAGCTTGGTCTGGGTTGGGGTTCGTGGAGGCATCGCCGGATGCAATGTCCGGGCACGATGCATTCTGACGGAGGTCACCCATGATGGTGGTGACCGTGTGGTTAATCGAGACAAGTCCAGAGATCGGTACTCGACGTCGAGATTCGGATAATGATGATGTGCCACGGTGTTGAAGGGCAGCAAGCCGGAACGACAGTGTTTGGGTGTCACCAAGGACCGTGAAATAGTTATACAAGAAGAAAAAGAGGGACAAGGGACCTCTAGGTAGCCTGCGGTTGTGTTGAAACCCGATCCGCGCGTGCCGGGCGGGCGGGCGCTTGTTGGAGGCTGAGTCGCAGCCTGTTCGGTGATAACGAACAAGGCAAGGCAATGGAGGGATGACCAGTCGAATGGGTACCTCGGTAGATTACGTAGGCAGCCAACAGCAGCAGTGGGACCAACGAATGATGGATGATGGTGAAGAGATGAAGGTGAAACAACAGCAAGGTAAACAGACAAGGCAGAGAGAGGTGGAAGCAAACAAACACTATGGCAGACACTGGGCGGCAACAGAGGTAGAGGTAGGTTTGGATATAGAATAGTCTGTGTATACACGTGTTGTATGTGGAAAATAGGCAGGTAGGTATGGACAAGGCAGAGAAGCTACCTATTTTGACAGACAGACAGACAGACAGACATGGATGCAGGAACGTGCAACATCGGATGTTGTATCGTCGGCGGTCGGATTGTTGACAGATGCCGCCCGACCCCGAAAGTCCTTCCACTTCAGTTCTGAGCTTCAGCTGTCGTCGTCAGCCCAGCCACGGTCACTGCCGCCGTCGGGTGTGTCATGCAGGAAGACTGGACCCATGCGGAGGAAACAAGAGTCCGATAAGAAGCGATAAAGGGAGCTTGGACCACGGTTGATTCCCAAAAAGGCTTGGCCTTATGACGGCATTGTGAGTGGGATCCCATTGGCCCGATAGCGGCCTTTTCTGTGTTCGGCTGTTGGAGGCAATCGGTTGGAGACCGGAGGAGTTGGAGATCTTCTCCATCAACTTTTCCATTTCTTCTTTTCTGCCCAAAACCATAATCCATAATCGTTGTATTACTGTACACCATCAACCCACAACGAAGGACTGCAATGGCTTCTTGATTTCTAATAGTGCCCATCACCGGCACTCGAATAAATCAGTACTCTCCCCACTACATATCGACCACCACCACCATCAAACAATGTCACCATGTCGAGACCCTTATTTCTGGCTCGAGATCGCCACGTCCATTCCATCGTCGCTGCCATGGTCCCCAAACAACCACCCAGGATGACCGTCTTCCGCCTTCCGCGAGGGGGAGTCCGGCACTTCTCGGCCTCTGCCACCCGCAGAGAGATCCTCGACATCGCCGCCCTGCCCGATCGCATAGTTCCGCATTACCAACAGACAAAGGCTTCTTCCTTGCTGTCTCTCATCTGGCCCCAGCCGCCGCGCAACCTCCTGCTCATGCCCAAGCTGCATGCGCCACACGTCCTCGTTTCCGCCGCCGAGTTTGCCAAACACATCTACACCAACTACCCCGGCCTCAACCTCGTCTTCGAAAGCCATGTCGCAAAGTCCATCCACGACCAGCTGCCCTTCCCCATCTACACGGCCGCCCCAGCCGAGGCCACCACTCTCTTCGCCAACAAGATCGACCTCGTCACCACCATGGGCGGCGACGGCACCATCTTGCGCGCTGCCAGCCTCTTCTCCATGCACCACCAGGTCCCGCCCATTCTTGGGTTCAGCATGGGCACCCTCGGCTTCCTCGGCGAGTGGAAGTTCCAGGAATACAAGCGCGCCTGGCGCGAGTGCTACATGAGCGGCTGCTCTGTCTCGGTCGAGGACCTGGTGGAACCACACACTCAAGTCGCCGCCCGCCAGGCCGCCAACGCCCACCTGACCGATCCCCACAAGGACGACAACACCTTGCAATCTCCCGCCTGGGACACCGTTCGTGGCAACGGCCAATGTATGGGCCTGAATCGCGCCTCCAAGATCCTCCTGCGCCACCGCTTGCGCGTAGGCATATACGACGCCCAAGGCCGGAATATCAATGAACAGCTCCTCCCGACATCCACAGCCGATCCGGGGGACGACATCATCTATCCTAGCCCTGTATCTGCCCCAGGCACTGGCGAAATCACCAAAAAGGCCCCGATCCCCTACCTCCACGCCATCAACGAAGTGTCTATCGACCGTGGCGCCCATCCTCACCTTGCTATAATCGACATCTACGTCAACAATCACTTCCTGACCGAAGCCGTAGCCGACGGTATCCTCATCTCGACGCCCACAGGATCCACCGCCTACTCGTTGTCAGCAGGCGGAAGCATAGTCCACCCATTAGTAAAATCCCTGCTCATCACGCCCATCAGCCCCCGCTCGCTCTCCTTCCGGCCTTTGGTTTTACCATTAAACACCAAGGTCGTTCTGAAACTCAGCAAGAGAAACAGAGGGCGGGAATTGCCCGTAAGCATAGACGGCAAGCGCCGGGTGGCAGTCAGTCACGGAATGGAAGTCCGTGTGGAAGGAGAACGGCTTGAAAAGACGGTCGAGCACGGCTGGCGGGGTGGCGTACCGTGCGTGATACGGTCTAGTTCCAAGGGCGATACAGATGGGATTGCGCAGGATGACGATTCTTGGGTGGGCGGGTTGAATGGGTTGTTGAAGTTTAATTATCCTTTTGGCGGTGGTGAACCGGAGGGGGAGCACTGAAGTGAGGTGGCTGCTGAACGTCAGAACAGATGATTCAGTGTCGGGGGAGTATGTGTCATGGCTAAACAGCCCAAGAATTACCGCACAGGAAGGGGACGGTTCCGTCAGATGAGATCAGGATCAGCGCGCGTGGATTGAAGATGGATGAGACGGAAAACGCCGCGTGGGAAAACGCTGTGACAGGAAGGCCAATACGGGAATCAGAAAGAGCAGGGTTTACTTTCAGTACTTTGTAGCAAGCAAGCAAGCGATAGTCGAGCGTATGTTTAAAAGCACGACAATAACAAAAACAGCATTGATACCCCTTCATTACATATTAAGTCTCCAGTCCCAGTTGTCATTGGCTCCAAGATGAAAATCTCACGTTCTATCAGCTACACTTGTCTGGTCCGGCTTCATCACGCTCCCGTCTTCTTTATTCCTGCCTGTACTTATTGATTGTAACAGTCTTCCTTGTCGGCTGTCTGTAGCCGCACTACCTACTTCCTCTGACTCCTTTCGCCGTGGTAGCCTCACTGTACCCGAATCATGTCGAAAACACGAGACCCGCTCCCGGGTAGGTAGGTAGGTAGATAGCAGACATTGATCATGCCAGGAACATGTCAGAATACTCACCATGTACCTAGAAAACGCAATTGCGGCTGCTCCTGGTACCTACAGTAATGGTCAAAAAATACTGTCCCCCCCCACCCCCATGCATCTGCATCACCCACCCGCCCCGCCACTTCTTCTAAGTCTTCTTTTTCTTCAACCCTTTGCACCTCCGCCAATTCCCGGTTAAAATGGCTGATCTTAGTGGCCATTTAACCGGAAATGCTCGGACTTCAAGAGGGTTCCGGAAAGATTTGACTGAGCTAGAATGCGCGGCTATTATTGCTTTGCGAAATGCGGGGGTTTTACAATGCTAATTGGTAGCCGATTTCGATTGTAGTATTAAGACTATTATTAGAATCTCAAATCGCTTTCAAAACTACTAAACCTTTAAAATCCTCCCTAGAAAGGGTAGAAAGGAGAAATTAACACTAGTAGAGAAGCGATATATTCGTTAAATAGTTAAAAGGAATCCTAGAATAAATTGGAGAACCTTTATTAATAATAATAGTATTATTATTATTAAGAATACTATTTAGAAGATTTTAGGTAAAGATTATCATTGTAAATAAGTTTCAATAAAGAGGATTCCTCTTTCTAAAACCGATATTAAAAAGAGATTTAAGTACGCTAAGGAATTCTGTCGGTAAAGAAGTATTTTATTGGAGGTGAGCCTTTCTCTTTCTTAAATTATTTTTACTTTATATTAATTATAATATTAGGGAAATTACTCTAATAAATACTCTATTTAAAATACCCCTAACTAGCCCGATAATTAAGTATTTCGACGGCTTTGAAATAAATATAAGCCCGGATTAATTAATTTTAAAACTTATATTAAATCCTCTATTACTTTAATAGTTTAGAGGATAATTTAGAAGGGTAGGCAGTCGAACTTTATTATTATAAGCTATAATATAGTTTTACTAAGGTATAAATATATTTCTAATTTTTATATTAATACTTTAGAAGAAGGATTAGCGCCTTATTATCGTCCGGAAAGTTTCTTTCTCCAAAATAACGCTAGAATCTATACCTCAAGGGCAATTAAAGACTAGTTAGAGAATTACGGCATTAATGCGGGAAGCATCACATGTATGATTAAATCAATTGAGTAGACTAGACTAGGCACGGCTTACAGCTATGCCCACCCCCAATAGAGGCATTAGTGTGCTCAGGCACGTGCCTTGGCACGTGCCCGGCTCGCCTAGTCGTAGGAGTTGCAAATTAGCTGCAATTTAGCGATAAAATAAGGGAATTCCTATAAAGGGATTCCCGTGCAGGGCGGCCTTCGGCTACGCCTTTCTTCCTCCATTATCTTCTTCTTTTACTTCTAATACTACGTATTACACTTATTATATTATAGTATTTGGAAGTACCTAGGTTACCCTATTAAATAATAGTTGCAATTATACGAGTAGTCATTAGACTATTTTCTTTAATTGCAATTCCGGTTTAACTATTAAAAATTATAATTAATCCTAATAAATTTATTAATATTCGCGAACTCGCTTTTTAATCGCAAGATCCTGTATCGCAACGACATCAACCCCACGATTATACTCACTTCCAAATAATAGAATCAATTACTCATTGTAAAATAGTATCGCCTTCTATCCCCTTCCTATATTTCCTTATAATATACTATTATATTTACGTTAGCCTAATTCGAATAAGTATATTGAAGCTTTAATACTACCTTAATCCGGGCGTTATTTATTTAATATTCGATACGAAGGGTAACCCTAGCGACTATATTTATTATAAAGATAATTCTCGTTACTTTTCTCCCTTTATAATTATTAATCGTTTGTTATAAGATAGTATTAAAGAAGATAAGTCCCTATTTATCTCCTTTATTATTATTCCAATTTTTTTATTTAAAAATACTATAATTATAAAT